CCCTTCTGTTATTTATATGCATGTGATAGTCTGTGCCTTTGCAGCATAATCATTTTCTTTTAAATTCGTAATTCTCTTTTAGATTTCTGCCCTGAATGAGAGAACTCAGGCTTTGATTTCTTTCACAAACAATTTCTCTTTTAAAAAATCATTTACATTACCATAAAAGCCATAAAATACTCTAAAATCATCAGTTATAAAATGATGCAAAGACCAAACAAGGCAACTTTTCTTATTGTCATGTGGACAAATATTTCTCTCTTGATGCTTGATCATGTAGAGACTTGTTACAATAAATCCCTGCATCATATTCAAGAATATGAAGATATTCTTATATTTAATCTTGGGCACAGAATCAGAGCTTTAATGGCCAATAAACCGATGGCAGTGCCTTAATGATAATGTGCATTAGGGTTGGTTAGGAATGAGAAGAATGTTAGAACGCTCCAAGTTAGTTCCAAGGGCTAAAGTGAATGGCTGCATCTTATCTTTACAGGGAGCAAAGTGTGTTTCAGCCTCATTAATTCTGAAGCCAGGTTTTTAGTTTTAATTGCAGTACTTGCATGTGATTAGTTACAACGGGAGATGTAATCGCCTAAGATCCCACGACAATCCTGCGACTGATTGCACCAGGCAGTGTGTAGATGAAAAGCACCAGGAAGATGATCAGAATAAGCAGAATGAGCCCAATGATGATATACTTCTTGTAGTTTCGCCAGATGAGATGATACAAGCACTTGAAAGGATTTACAAACCAGGAAAAGGATGTGTCAGGTCGGCTGAAGGAAAGGAAAAGAAAAACAAACCCTTGGTAAGGACAGATCCAACTGTTTCCAAACATTGTTATGTTATAAAATTAATGCCATGTAAAAAATATCCTTTTCCAAAACAAGACCGTTTAACCCCTGGGAACATATTAATTCGGGGTGGCCAACTTGTGGCATATATGCCAGAAGTGCCACGGGCAGCCTGTATGTGTAGCATGCAGCAAATTGGGGAGGGGACATGAACACAGCAGCAGATACGGCAGGAAGCAGAAAGCAAAGAAACAGATTGGGCAGGGAGCACAGGGCAGGAAGCAGAAAGCAGAGCAGCAGACTGAGAAGAGGGGGACCTTAGTGGCACTCTGGGAGGGTTTGGGGCTCATTTGTGGGATACCTGCCAAAAAGGTTGGCCCCCACTGCATTAATTGTTCCTAATATCCAGTAAACTTCAGAGTATTCTCTGGATTACTCAACATACCATCAGCCACCAACTACCAAAGCCATACACACCATAAACCACTGCGCAGAGTGACACATGTTCTTCACCATTCATAGCTATGCAAATTAAGACAAGATGTACGATCCTAATTGATGTGTTAACCCACAGCAAATTTTAAATGTGAAATTGAGGTGCCACGGGGTCTGATCCAAAGCTTAGAGAAATTCCTGTTAGCTTCAGTGAAATAGGATCAGAGTTTTAACACATAGCCAATGCCATTAAAAACAATCTGCTTCCCTGGTTATAATTTTTTAAGTACATATAACCTTTGGGAATCAGTTCAGGCATAGTGCTAGGATTATGCCATCCACACAAATGCAGTTTTAAATGCAGTCTTGACCACAGATCATTGAGAAACAACCTTCAAGGCTCAGATTGGGATGGTTCTTTGCATGATTTCAAAAGGAAGGAAGGAGCATTAGAAACTTTTCCCCTATACACAGGATAACAGCATTTTCCATCCCCAAATATCCTGAGTGCAAGGATGCTTTGTCCTGCCCCTGCCTCTACTACACCAGTCAGAAGAGGCAGGATCACATCTATGACCTTCTTCAAACGATCCAGCAGTACTGGCGGATCCAAGGAGAATAAGAATTTGAAGCCAAAGAGATGGTGTACAGCAGCCAGCTCCTCATAGCATGAGGAAATCTTTGCAAAAGGTTTTTAAATGTGTTGTGTATCATGCGTACAGTTTAAAATGCCCCAGAAGGCTCTGTGCCTCTCTGACTGAATTGGACCAGAGCCTGTCAGCTGTGTATAATGGGGCTATTTCCAGAGTAAAAAGCTCTTCAGCATAATGAAAGGTGGCAGAATTGGGTGCTTGGAGATTTTTAGCTGATTATCATGTTACGAAGTATGTCACATGCTTGTGCAGATGTTACAATCAGGGGAATAAAATTAAAAGGATACATCATGAACAGTGGTATTTAAGAAAAAATGCTGCTCAGGGCCTGTAAATAACTCATGGGCACCTTGAGAATATGGTATGTACCACAATTCAGTGGAAAATACCAGCCTGCTAGAGGGTTAGAAACCCTAAATGCTCCAGTAATCAATGTTTTGGTATCAAGGGTGGAATCTGTAATTAATATGAACCTGACTAAAAACTATTATCACACATAGCAGCATTGATTGAACCACAACCTCAGTCCAATACAACATATTCACAGCCTGCTCCCAGCTCATTTAGTGAACACGTCTCTACTCACTTGGGTTTCTCCAGAGGTTCAGGCTCCTTCCGAGCTTTGCCAACAGGGTTCTTCTTAGCTTCCTCTTCAGTAACTAAGTGGAACTCCGCTTCCACCTTGCCCTAGAATATTGATTAAATATTTAATCCGGGGCTATTAACCAATAACCAGCTACTGACCAATTAGCATATGTGAGCTATTCACCCAGAAGAGATAAGAAGAGTTTTCAATCTGTTGATTGAATCACGTTGTGAGGATTGTGGGGAACCCCCTCTTACAGTTTAGGAGTCCAGTTTGGTTCTATGATCTGTTAACCATCTTCATGTTTTAGGGCCACCTTTTTCTGCCTTGCACTACTTGTGCTAAGGGGCAAGGGGTGGCACTGGTACATGTGTTTAGATTGGTCCTTAAAGACAGTCAGGATCTCAGAAGATCTGGCCTGGGGCAGAAGAAAGAAGTAACTGCACCATACACAAAACAGGTTCTTTCAACTTCTGTGCCAAGGTCTAAGGTGTGAAGGAAGCAAATCCAAAGAGGCACTGGTATAGCCCTTATTTACCCACATGTAGGCTGGGTAGATCCAAAAGAAGCTTGGGGCAGGTCTGTGGAGGAACAAAGGGACTAGCTTAGGCTGAAGGAAGCTGGCCACAGGAGGGAGAAAGAAAGACTCCTCAATTTGGAGAAGTAGTCATGGGCTGCAGGAGGGAGGATAGGACCAAATCCCAAAGAACACTCCAAAATGGTGAGGAGATTTGTGCAGGGAAAGGCGTCTGAGTAGTTCATGGTTTTTACCTAAATCTGTCTGTATCTCTTGTGCTTTCTAAAGCACAGAGTAGCTGAGGTAGAAATCTCTTTTGCAAAGCTTGTGCTTGTTTATTGCACCTAGCCCATGTCCTTGAAGTGGTGAACTGTACAATGAAGTGCTGGCAAAGCTGGGATTCTGGGAAAGGTTGTGCTTATACAACTTAAGCACACTGGCAAGGGGCACTGGTCTCTGTGCTTAAGAAATTGGGTTGCAAGCTGTTGGCTCTCAGAAAGGGTTTCCAAAATGGGAAACGTCATCCTAGGAGCGTGCCTAGAAGCTCAGAGCCAGAGGAAGTGCCTGGAGTCTGCTCCCAGAAAGGAAATGTTGAAAGTAGAGCGGTCCAGTGTATGGGGCCCAAACACATCAGCCTGTGTGTCTAGAAGGGGGAGCCTGACCCGATAATGACAAATGGATATCTCTATTCATTAAAGATCCTTCCAGTTTCAAGAAATGGCCCATAAGACCACAGTCGCAAGTTGGATCCCTAGTTGGACTAGATGATCTCTTGAGGTCCCTTCCAGCTTTACTTTTCTATGAAACTATTACAATCATAATATTTGAGTAGCACTTTGATTCTCATTTTCTCTTCGTAGTAATCACAATAGACCTAAAATTGGAGAGCTCACTCATAAAATATTAATGCAGAGGAAAGATCAGGGGTTTGGGATTGTCTAGTAAAATGACACTACTTGAATTATTCATGTGCTTTTTGGTAACAACTGTAATTGTAGTCAAGGAAGTAACAGATTCTAACATGGCAGTCAGTCCTGGAAGATCGCTACAAAAACAAACCTTTTAATAATTGTGTGTATCAACTGGGCTAAAGTGCTATATTACAGCTATTGCTCATCTGGTGCCTGACACAAAACACCTGGATCTTTAATGGAAAGTCTTTCCATTGCATCTCAGTTGCTGTTAAAATCCAAACCAGCTGTTTGCTGTTCAAAATGGAATTGACTTTTGCATGTTAATAGGTAATATGGCTGCTAAGCTTTCAACTATTTCTTGTTTAAGCAATGTATCATCCCAAGCCTACAGTCGGTTTGTAAACCCTTCATCATCTCCCAGACTGATCTACTATGCAGCTCTTCTGGAGCTCTTCCCTGATAGTCATTTATCTCTTTATTTCACTTGCATGCAAATAAATCTTGAGATAAGCTCTCCATGGATCTGGTTGAAAAGAACACTGTACAAAATAAATCAAGGTACTTCCAAGCACCTTTCAGCTTGTTAACAGTGCTCTGATAGTAATAATTCTTCACACTTAGCAGGATCCATCTGAAGAAATCAAAATGCTTTGCGCACAGTAACAAAGTAAGCTGCATCATCAACGTGGGTATATACCTGGAAACTGCTCAGCCAGGACAGGCTGAGTTTGGACAGGTATTATCCTGGGTATTGTCAGGAAAATAGCTATTTCCTCACTGAATCAGGTTTTTAAATTTTCCCTGCTGACTCTAACAAATATAATTTACCGTACCATCTGAGTTCACAGCTTTACGTTTTATAATTCAATTTATGGTCATCATTGAAAAGTCAGGATTTCCCACCCTGCAGCATATGGCTTTATGTCTTAATCCTTATGCTGACAAATTCCATACTTTTTACACATCTCTGTAGTATATTTGTTTTCAAGGATTATAATTCAGGGTAGAATTTAAGCCTAAATACAGGCAGGTCCACAAAATATCATAATAAGGTAAATGAAGGGTTTGTTGTTGTTGTTATTTTCATTCCCTTTAACGAGCTATGAAAATACATAATGATCTATGAAATAAGCAAGACCTGACTGGTGAAAAACATGCCAGATACATGCCAGTAGACTATATCAACTGCATTACTCAGTGTACCAAGTCCAGTCTAACAGCAAAGTAATACATTATTAATATTAATACACCGGGCATGAAAACCCTTGCAAGACATTAATGACTCAGAATCATTCCTTATCAAGATGTATCCATCTGGGTGTTTATATGCTCCTCATTATTCCCACTGTGAACTTAACTAGGCCAAGGGAAAAACTTTAAAGCTTTTATGGCGAACCTGGTAATAGTAAGAATAAAAAGAGTGCATAGGTCAGATTGGAGGGGTTGGACACAAACTGTGATAGAAGAAAAGCAGCCAAAGAATTAATCCATGTTGCTCAGTTGCAAATACTTTCAGAGCCTTTGTTTTCAAAAGAATAAATATATTATTGAAATGTCCAACTTCCACATGAATGACAAGACACTACGCAAATTATTAGTATTGCCTGGCCTGCCACAGGTTCCACAAGCAATTTAGTTTACTGGGTGGCAATAGAGTTAAAGGAAAATAAATCACTAAAGTCATATCTACAGAGCAAGTAAAGCTGTCTCCAAGCTATTGTAGATATGACCCTCATCTGTTCACTGTATTAAGCACGTCTCTTGACAGCCTTCACAGTAAATCCAATCCTGAAGCCATAAAAGCATCCTTGGGAGACAGATCTACTGAGCAAACAAGAGCATTCCTGTCTCTGTTTTCTCAAGGACAGCCTCTTTCCACTGTTTATGAAAGCTCATCCTGTACATCTCTGATTTAGTTAGTCTATGGGCACATCTACACATAGCTCTACAGTGACATTATTACTGCGCCTTTTGGAAGTACTAAAGCACAGTGCAGTAACCACTTGTACTGCGCCATACGCACGGCGCATGGTTATTTTTACCAGCTATTTGCTAGGGGTGTGTGAAGTGGGCAGTATTCAGTTTGGATTTGACCCAATTTGCAGGACAGTGATTCGATTTGCTGATTTGGATCACTGTCCCAATTCAATTTGGCTGAATCTGAAGATTTGATTCTGATTCGGAGAATCAGCAATTCGGCCATAGACACAGCTTTATATGTTTTTTCTATGCACCTCAAGGTACCAGGTGTGGCTCGTGAATGCTGAGATGGTGGGATGGATGGAGCGTCCCGCAGGAGCGCAGGGGAGTCCCTTGTGCACTCGGCGGTGGACACCCCCCCCCACCACCGCCTGATCTAGTCCAACTCTCTGCTGAAGGCAGGATCATCCCTGACTAAGCCATCCCTGCTAAGTGTCTGTCTCGCCTGCTCCTGCAAATTTCCAGGAATATACCACTTTTTCTGATGGAAAAGGGAGAATGTCCAGAGACTTCCTGAAACTCACTGGAGACTTCACTATGGCTCTTAGTGTTAAGCAATATTACAATGGAGGCCAGCAGTAGGAAACACAAAGCTAGATGGATACCTGGGACATATGATCTCAGCTCATTTGAAAACATTTTTGCCCTGCTGAAGCCCTCACCATAAATGAAATTTGACAATAAGCTCATTTAGCATGCTTAACATGCCCTATAGATTTGCACACCCTGGAGTTATAGTTATATCCTTCTGGGGACTCCTGAAATCTAATGAGTTCAACAGCCCTTTGATGTTTCAGGGAGTCTGTCATTTCCCCTTGCAATTGTGTACACTCCCATTGAGCCACTGCATCAGGGAAATACTGGGCTTAAAACATGCTGGAAAATGTAAAGCATACTTTGTATGCTCCTGTTAGGATGTATTCTGTAATACATCTCTTGCAAAAGTAAGAGTAGACTCTTAGGTAATGTTTAATGAAGTCTGCTACTCAGCAGAGGTGTAGCGCTGTACTAATGAACCTACACTACTTCTGATACTTGTGCTACCTTGTTCAAAAGCTGCCTCAGGTCTCTCCCCATGACACTGTATTGTGTCATGAAGACAAACCCTAAGAACCAGACTCTTGGCCTGCTTAAATCACAAGATAAAGGGGGACTTAATGCTACCTGAATGACACAGATGGCATTTCCCCCAGGGCAGGGGAAAATGAGATGACTTAAAGTTAGCTTGATGCATCTGCTTCACTCCACTCTATCTTTCCACTACCTCGGCAGTTCTGGCATGTGAGAGACAGGAGCGGGCACAGCCATAAAAGAGTGTACTCGGGTGACCCAGGGCAGCATGCCCAGAAAACCGTTCTAATCAGTGTGAATTAGAGCAGCCCCGTGGATGTGCAACATATGGCATAATGTTGCTTTTCAGTTGCCCAGCATCTTTTTTTCATATTTGTGAGGCACCTCTCACCAGAGTGTCTGTACACGAAACAACGCTCCGCAACCTTAGATCATTCTTCTAAATCAAAAAGGCTCTGCTTACAGTGAGCTCCCCAGCTTTGCTGAAAGGCCACCAGCCTCTGACACGCTTTTGCTGAAATATGGAGATCGTGTTTTCTTCACTTGTTGCTGTCACCATGCTTAAGTCACAGCCCTTGGCTGACTTGGCTGCCCGAGGAAATCCATTCAGGTTCATTTCAAGGGAGCCTGGGGGGAAAAAAAACCCACGGCATCATGCAGAGACAAACCAGATGTAAAGATAATCAAACAACCACTTCCAGTGAAGACAAACACAGCACCTCTCCTGCAGCTTGAACAGGATAGTAAACCAGTCTAGTCTGAAACTATCTTTGCACCATTTATCATCTGCTTGTATAGCCCGTATCTGAGTACATAATCATTCGAGCACATGGCTTATATTTAAATACAGTGATCAGATGCTATCTAGACCTGGCTTGACAAATACCCCAATACTACCTCATATACAGTTCAAAGTAGTAGTTCTCAAAAATGTTTGTGAAATAGTGGTGTGAAGAGCCTAGGAAGGAGACTGAACAGGACCCTGACCTTCACAATATCCTGTACGGTCCTCACTGGGGAGGAAGGACAAGAAGACTTGTCTCTACCAAACTTCTAAAAAACATTATCAGAGCTTGGATATACTGATCTGCCATTGCACATACCAGCATAATGAAACCCTTCATGAAAAAAGTCAGAGAGATGTGGAATGTGTGTTATTGATCTGCCTAGTGTTTATTTCAGTTTCTACCTTTCTGTCTAGCCATATTGTAAAATCAATGAAAATGGAGCCATGAACAGGAAGGCAGCAAACGTCAGTTCCAAAGGGGGTTGCAGAGAAAAAAGGATAATGCGCTGTGACAGGATCCAGCAAAGATAAAATGCCCTGCTTAAATCTCTGTCAATAGCACAAACTGGCCAAAATGTTCAAAGGTGGCTAGGGATCTGAAGTGCATTGAGTTTTTGGGTGCCTAACCTAAGGCACCTTAAAAAGGCCAGATTTTCAGAGCTGGTCCTCAGCACTTTTGAATGTGATAGCTCAGACTCTATTGCATCTCCAAGGCTGGAAATAGGCATTGCCTTTGTGCTGCCATAAACATTTTAAAGACAACACAAAGGCCAAGTAAACAGATGTTCAGAACAAGGCTGGAGGTGAAAGCCTAGCCCTACTGGAGTAAATTAGAGCTTTCCCACTGACTTCCTGAGCCTAAGATTTCATCCCAGATTTTTATTTATTTGAAGTACCACATTTTAGATGCTCAAAAATGAGCAATATTGAAACAACTTCTTGTTCTTTTCAGGACACACTGCAGCACTCACCTTCTAACATTAGTATTTCTTAATCCTGACCTCACACAGAACAGTGTAAATATGTAGATGGGACAGTGATACATAGATAACGTACACAGGGAAGAGAAAGGAGGAGGAAAGCAAGCATGATCTAGATGATCTTTTAAGGTTTGAAGACTGTAAAGCCTAATGAAAAGAATTTTCAGTGACCTAATCAATCTGATGAAAAGATTTGTTGGGATGAATATGATGAAATGTTTCCAAACAGGGAAGGTAGGTGATAATTTTTAAAGGGATGTGTTGGAAAGCCAGTAATGAGAAATTGTACACTGAAAAAGATAAAATGCTCAAGACTATATTCCTGAAAGATAAGTGGGAAGTCCATCATTGTTGGGGTGATTGACCGAAAAAGGCTGTTTTCATATGTAATTTCTAGGATTTTTTATAAACAAGGTTACAGCAAATTGCCTAGACTTAAGATCATATTAAATAATGGTTGATATTACTGAAAAATGTGATTATCATTTCATCACTGGGGTTGAAAAGGGCAACTCTTAAATAAGTGCCATAAATAAGCCACTACAGGCCTATCCTTTCGTGGGCCAAAACCATGCACTTAGAGTTAAAAGGATTGGAGGAGGACAATTGAAAGTTGGGCCCTAGAAAACTCTTTGCATGTTTTCCTACAAAACAAAGGACTATGATCATTTTAGCTGAAGTTCAGTGGGCCTCACTTACCAAGGAAATCATCTGATGAAAGCCTTTCAAAGTCCCAAACCTGTAATACAAGCTCTGCTGGGATTTTGCGTTCTGTTTTGTCCAAGGAAAATATGTTCTCTCTTTTACTGACTACCATTTGTTTCTCAGCTGGGAGGTAGTGGAATGGAAACACAAACCGCCAGTTGAAGTTCCCTTCTCCAGTCAAGGAGTTGTAATGCACATCTGTCTCCTGTTTGTCGTCTTCCAGGCCTTTTAACCAGCTGCAGCATTCATATATTTGAAGACATTTATGTTAGTAGGGAGGCTGTATTGTAGCCGCTAACTTTCAATGACAAAAAATTCATTATAAATATGTATTTTTCATAATCAATGATAGTGGAGCACTCAGAAGGTTCATGGAGTATAAATAACCATTCAAAATATGTCTCAGGCTTACAGGTGATAGAAAGTGATGCTAAAAGTTTAGTGATATCAAGTGAATTCTATTTAGATCAGACTTGCAAAATTCTAATTCGCTCACTCACTTTTTTTTTTTTCTAAGACAGGCAAACAAAATATCATTATAACTTTCATTATTAATCACCAAGAATTGCACTTGGCTGGTAAATTTCATGAGTGTCACAAGGCTGATTTATGGCCTTGATATCAGAGTCAAGATCATTTGTAGCTGCAAGTGCTGTAGATTGAAGGATGTCAAGCTGATTCATTTCCCCGAAGTTATCTTTCCTTTTTTTTATTATTTTCTTATGCAGCACAAACAGTGTGGATTGGCATACTACATAAATAATATGCGTTTCCCTAAAAACACATTCCTTTTGAAGGTGCTATTGAAATGTACATTTCCTTAACTTTTCATAAATAGACCTTTAATAAATATTTAAATAGTATACTATAACCCCAAAATAGTTATCCTGTCCCAGAAAGTGGCATGGTCACAAGAAGGTAATTTGGAAATATTAGTCGTGACATAGCTTATACTAAACACAGGTACAACAAATGCTCATTGGTGTCCAGATTGCTAGAAGTTCATGTTGTATAAAATGTATTGCAGTCTAGTTATTAGGCATTCAGACTGGTAACAAGAAGCTCCTCATTACTATCTTTGGATTAGATCGTATCCCTGGACCAAGAGAATGACTCAGGGCATATTTACATTAGTCACTGCTATGACTGCAGCTCAGTAGACATAACAAGCTAGCTTTAAACTATTTAGCTTAGATACTGAAAGCAGTGTAACGGTGGTGGCATAGGCCTCCATGTGTGCTAGCTACCTGAGTATTTACTAAACTTCTGGCTCATTCTGTGTTCTGAGTTCTGTGCTATTGCTGTTGTGCTGCTAGTATTATCTGAGTACACTTGTTTAAAGCTAGCCTAGGTATGTCTCCATGAGTTGTAGTGACTTCAGTGAAGACATACACCTGAGGGAAGTAGAATGGAGTAAGCACATGCTACCAAGCTGTTGTGTCTCTATATGTAGCTTGACTTTCTCATTATCCTCAAGGATCTTTCAGAATTAGCAAACCTGATAAAATCTCCCAATGAAAACACCGGTGCGTAAATAAATCTAACTGTTCTTCCTCCATCTCGTTGCACCAATCATTGGCAATGGACAAACTCATACAGTCTTCAGACTCATTTTTTGGTTCACATAAGTCCCTTAGGCTAAGGACAGAAGTTACATATAAACTGGTTTAAGTCATCAGAAACTGGTTTAAACCTGTAACAAAACAGAAGTTCAGTGCACATAAACCAGTTTCAAAATGGCTGAAACTGGCCTAAGATAAACCTGGTTGAATGTAGTATCAGATTTAACTGATTTAGATCAAACCAGTTTATGAAACTTCTGTCCCAGACCCCTTCCTGGTTAAAGTTAAATCCCAGCCCCCACCCCAGCATCCCAGCATGCTTTCCAGCCCTAGGCTGGGCTGGGTTGTCTGGTCCAGCAGAGAAGGGTTGGAGTTGCGGGCAGAGGGTTAGGGACTGCCCTGCCAAGGCAAACCCCAGCTGGGGTCTGGGGCCAGGAAGGGGGTTAAACTTCCCTTCCCCAAGTACAGAGCTGCCCTGCCCTGCTAAAAACTTACAGTGGGCTATGACTATGGACTACACATCCCAGAGGCACCTGGAAGCAAGAGGAGGAAGTGATGAGCAACCCTGAAGAGTCCTGCTGCTATGATTCTGGAATGCAAATCCCAGAGACCTCGAGGGCAGCAAGAAGAGGAAGTGAACACGTAGCCCATGCTGGCTGTGCGCCAGAGAGCCATGCTCTAGTGCACCCTGGCTTCTGGCCTAAGCCATTGCAAGCATGTGGCTGCATTCCCTGAATCAAAAGTGAATGTCTGTCCAGTTGTTTCTCAGTTTAATCTCTGTAGCTTAGACTAACTTTCAAAGACTGAATCAATTCAGCCTCAGGCTTTTTGACTGTCTGTACTTAGCTTTAAAGTCCCATGCTCAAGAAACTGAGGCAGTAACACACATCTGATCTACACAACCCTCTCTTGATCTGTGAAACTACATGAAACATCTCAAGAGATACTCACAGGCCTTTTATGCTGAAAGACTTGGGACTGTTCAGCCTGGAGAAGAGAAGACTCATAGGGGACTTGGTGGCAGTCTATATGTATTTTAGGGGCATAAATCAGGGCCTGGGGGAGCATCTGTTCACCATGGCACCCCATGGGAAGACAAGAAACAATGGGCACAAACTGACTGAGGATTGCTTCAGATTGGACACAAGGGAAAACTTCTTTACAAGTCAAATGCTGAGGGTCTGGAACAGACTCCCCCCAGAGCTGGTATAGTCACCCACCCTGGTGATCTTCAAAAAGTGTCTTGATGCCCACTTTGCTGGGTCATCTTACCCCAGCAGTCTTTCCTGCCCAAGTACAGGGGGACTGGCTGGACCCAATAATCTTTTAAGGTCCCTTCCAGCCCCTAACATCTATGAATACTTCCTGCTTCCATTTATGACATAATTATTTTCCTTTGATGGCATTTTGGCACTTCCTTTCAAGTCCTGTCTAAAAGCAGAAAGTGCAGAGAACAACACAAAAAAAGGAAAATTCATTTCTAACAGGTAATCTGAACTTTTTGTCAAAAATATAGTTCATTTCAAGTTCAAGTCAGCTCTGCTTTAATTTTGCCCAATGAATTCATTCATCCCTGCTGACTATACTTCATTACTGCTCCAAAGGTAAAACAGGGCTTTCATTTCCAACAGCATACAGAGACCATGAAAAAGAAGCTAGAAATGCTAATGAAACATACATACTGACTCCTGCCATTTATACATGCCCCTACTTTGATCAACAAATGGTTGATTAAAATATGTCTTCCAAAGGGATCTCCTACATTACTGCTCTTCTCTTATTAATAATTTCTCTACCCTGGTTATAATTCCTTTCACCTCAATAAATAACAATGTAATGCAGACATCCCTTAGGTCCTTCAGATTTAAAACAATGAAGGCTTTTGCATTTTACCCATTTATATTTTGGATTTGATTTGTATGCGTTTATTCCTGATTGTTGTTTGTGTGAGAAATGAATCAGCCCTGTGTTTACATTTAAAATTCTTTGACCTTAAAAGAGAAAAAACACTAGACATTATCCAGAATGGCTGGCTACTCTTGGCAGGCACTTACAGTAAATCACCAAGATCACAGCAAGGTTTCATAAGGACAGCTATATTAACACAACAGCATAATATGTGACACTGATTTTTAAAAAATAAAATGTTAATTGTTTTGTTAAAGGATAAATAAGAAGGAAGGGGTGTCCAGATGAACCTACCCTTTAACATAGATATCACTTGATTTTTGTCCTGTGAAGATATTCTCATCCTCTAAAATGACATCTTCTGTATTCCAGATTATTATTCTCAATTCATAACTGAAAGAAAGAAACCAGATGTTTGTATACTTGAATTTAAAGGCCTTCTTGTTCATCTGTATTCAGCTTACCTGAGTATGCATTAGGTGTGATCAGACAGCAGTCGAAACAACATTGCCTTCATTGAGCTAATTAATGATATGCAAACTGATTTAAATGGATCTAAATCAGGCCCCTTTTGTGTACTGTGATAGAATAAGATCTGGTCTCTAGGCATTCAGAGCAAAGTGATGGAGGGTATCACTGGCAGCCTCAGAAGAGTGGAAAATTCCTTGCTTATTGTTTGCATATGAGCCTTTTTTAGTTCTATTGATAAAAATGCTGCAGCGAGATAGGTCTGACAGTATCCTCTCCACAGCCCACAAAATACTGAGCAACTTTTTAATGAGAACAAAACCCATGTAGGAAGACCTGGGGTTTCAGTTTTAGAAAAATGTGTTGATGACATATGATATTTTTTTCAATCTGGTGCATTAAAATGAAAGAAAAGTGCTGTTTAGAAATATCTGTAAGGTACAGGAGACAATAGACATCTTCAGGGAGGATATTTTCAAGTGCTATCGAAAAAGGAGACACATTCTCCCTCACTCTTTTCACTTTGGCTACTTATATATGATGGGTGTGGGAAGCTCTAAAAACTACAGCTGGCCTGAACTCAAGATTTCTGAGTAAATACTGATATTTCAAAATTTGAGTTTATTCTGATATAGAATAAACACATAGTTTGAAAAATCTTCCAGAAATGTAAAATTAAAAAAAGAATTGCTTAGGAAGCAAGTGATGCATCTGAAATATGTTCCTTTACGAATGTGTGTGAGCCGCAGTGAAACTGACAAACACATCAATTTCAGTCAGTCATGCTGGAACCTCCCCGGGCTGCTGCTCCAGGGCAGTCCTTCTTTGTGGATGCCTGCAGGCTCAGAATCCTTCCGCGTGTCCACACTATCTGGTTCCTTTGGCTGTCTGTCTACTTGGGAACTGGGCAGCCTGAGGAATAGCCTGGTCCAGAAGTCTGGAAGCTCTGGGGCCTGCTTGACAAGACAGCCCTGGAGCTTTGGACCCTGGAAGCCCACCAGAAAACCAGGCTGAGCTTTCATCAGTATCTGCCTAGAAACAGGCCTGTGGTTTGATAAAATTTCCTCAAGCCTAAGATGTTTCTGTGAAACATTTCAGATTCCACAAATCAGCATTTTCTGACAAAACTCTGTTTCAGTGTCAGATTTCCAACCAGCTCTCCTAGAAACAAACACATCTACATGTTTGCCTAGTTATAGAACTTGGTCACTGTTCCTATACTCTACTTCTTCAACCCAGTTGGCATTAAGCATATCCCAAAATGTAAGCCACTTGCAGATACGTAAACCTCTCTTATTTGTTCTGATGACTAATACTTTAATAATATTTGTCTTTGTTTCTGTAGGCTGTAAATTGGCAACAGCATTTTGCTCTTGCAAATATTATCAAGTTCCTGCTTTGAAAAATGCCTGCTGACAAACAGCCTCACACAAAATCCCTGTATAATGAAAATACTCATTATAGAGGCTTCTTCTTGTCAAAGTTTGGAACTTAGTTAAATCTACATAAAAAAGAGAAAAATATTATTTTATAGCAATGCCTTTTGTTTCAACATAAACAATGAACTAATGGCAGCTGTGAAACTGTTCCAGACACAAAGATTACTCAAGAAAGCCCTTCTTAAAATACGGGATTAAAGTTCTTTTGGAATGAGCAAACAATTCTCTTTTATTATTTGCCCAACAGTCTATCAAGTTAACTCATTCAGTGAAATGTCACAGAGGGGAGGAGATACATATGCCTGAAATTGTACAAGTGTCATAATGTTGCTTTAGCTGTGTTGGACTAAGGAGCATATGAAAAGCAAGATTTGGTGATATCTGTTATGGGAGCACCGTAATAGTTGGGAGAGGTGGGAGACAAGCTTTTAGGTGCAAAATGCATTTTGTGTTTGAAATGATATAGAGACTCTTCATATTCCAAACAAATCACCTCTTGTGCTTCTTCAGTGCATCCTTCATCAAAGCAGAGGACATCCCCCAGGTGCAACAGTATTGTATCATAGTCAAAATATTGACCAGTGGTCAAGTACTTTATAAAAGTGGGAAAGCTAACATGGCATAGAAAGCACATTATGACTTTGGAATAGAGTTCAAAAGAGGGGTAATAACTGTGAGAGTAACTGCAACTGCTGCTTGTACTTTGGTCTTTTTAACATTGCTGAATAAATCACTTCAAATCATTTAATCAAGACTGGACACCTTTCTAAAAAGATATGCTACTGCTCTAACAGAAGATATGTGCTTAATACATAGATTCCAGGGTGGCTCAGGTTATACAGGAGGCCAGACTGGATAACAGTAATGGTCTCTTCTGCCTTTGTGGCAGTGATCCACAGTTTAAATAGTGGTGTGAGATTCCACTTCTTGCCGGGCCCTTAGAAAAAGAGAATACTTGCAGACTGATGCCAGTACACTGGCAGGAATTACATACCCTTTGGGTTTTCTTGGGGAAATATCAACAGGAGGTCCTGGTAAAGGCATGTCTTTGGGAAACATGTCCACCCACATCTGCACACGACCCTTTGAAAAAAAAGAAACAAGCAACACTGTCACCCTTCCTGAGCAAGACTGTAAAGGGCACAAAAATGTAGTTGTAAATTACAAAAAGTCAGCACAAGAAAAAATTCTCTTGAGATCATCTCCTGTGTCATCAAGCTTCTTGCACTGTGTTGTTCTTCCGACACAAGTGACATGGATTTCAGTATAGACTATTGCTGATATTTTTGTAGTTGATTCTTTGGACTTTCCCCTCCTTCCTATAAAGTTCTCTGTGTTGAGGCCTGGTTCATCTCTGCTGCCTGCCTCTCCTCCAGCGGTACATACTTTAACCTGCAAAATAACTTGGGTTGAACCAAACCCTAGTCTTATGACTAGACCTCATGCTTATACAGGCTACATACAACATAGACTCCTCCACAGTTGATGTGTTTGATCTCTGACACTGCCCCACTGCTACCACTACTTATTTTATCAGGGACAGAGTTTGTCTGAGCAGTAAACTGGACCCAGGTTTCTATGAGCAAACTCCAGCTTGACTCTGTTCAGGAGTTTCACATTTTCATTTGTTCTGTACACTTGGGATTCCCAGCAGTGCCCAACATGCTGAAACACTGCAAAACAGTTCTTGTGGTATTTTTGAGTCAGAACCCAGGTGGAACCATTTGAAATGTTGAGAGAAAGACTTTTCATGAACTTTCTAGCTCAATTCTGGAGACTCAAAAGGTTTGGATAACTTTGGGTGCTTGCCCAAACAGAATCCGGATTTTGAAGTTTTCTGGTTTGGTTATTGCAGGCAACATTGAATGGTACCAATGGCTATCTAGAAATTTTTACCTTTTTAACTGTACTACACACTATCAGAACACCATAGCAGTGATGAGGACAAAGGACAAATCCTTGTGCCCCCAAATGACCCCTATGTGGGAACTAGCCATTGGCTAGGCTGCAGTACTGGACAAAAAGACCTAGGGATTACAGTGGACCATGAACACAACCCAACACACTGAACACACTGAACACAACCCAACAGTGTGCTCTTGTCCCAACCCCCCCCCCCCCCCCCCCCGCAAAAAAAAGAAAAGATAGCCAATAGCATACTGGGTTGTATAAGCAGGAGTGTCACTTCCAAATCGAGGGAAATGATCTTTCTGCTCTGACACTGATGAGGCTTCACTGGGAACGCTAGAAACAACAGTAATTGGGGCAGAGGAATCCCTCTCTTGTGCTCGGGACTTCCATCACCTGTAGGCTTATCTACCTGTTCCATGCCCGGTTTATCCTTGTGATAGAGGGGCCTGGTCTCGATGTGCTCTGGAACCAGCTTGCATCCAACCTCAGGGATTTCTTCCCAGGAGCGTAAAACTTTTAAGGCAAGGTGTTCATATGATTCCACTGGATCTTCTAAACAAAAGGAAAAAACAGAGCTGAATTAGTATACAAGGGCTCTAACTAATGTGGCCTGGCTGTTATTAAAGACACTTGTTATAAGCCTGCTTATGTTTAAAGCAAGGCTTATTGCTTCCCAAAAGAAAAGAGAGGTGTCATAAACACATTTAATTCCTGTAAGTAAGAGCACCCGGGGGGGTGACTGAAAGTTTAGTGCTGAGAATGAAGCTAAGCTGTAAAACACAGTGAATTGTTTCAGTATTGTAACAGCCTGTTTCAAGGCTAAATCTAACATTAGAATGATAAAGTCTTGCTAGTTTGCTTTCATCTTCTTAGAAATAGATCCTTAAGTTAGATTTAAAACAAAAAAAAGTTTTGGTTTTTCAAAGAAAGGGGGACCTGCCATTTTCTTGAAGCATCAGAAAATGTCAGTGATTAAGTGCTAGAGCCTGTATATCACATCTTTTGCCTTGTGATGGCAGCAATGGAGAGCCCTGGGGAGCCAAAGTCACATCCTGAGTGAAGCACGCTTAAGCTGAAAGATGATAAACCGTAAACTCCATGGACAAAAGCCTGCCTTGCCCTGGGCAGTGGCATGCTGGGCAGGGGAAAGAAAGGGCCTAACTGGCAGTGGCCATTGACGCTGTGCCTTTGAGAGGCATACTGACTCAACAATGGTTCAGTAACAATGGTCACAAACTGACAGCGAGCAGATTTAGGCTAGATATCAGGGAAAACTTCTTCACGGTAAGGGTGACCAAAATTTGGAATGGTTTTCCAAGGGAGGTGGTGCTCTCCCCTACCTTGCGGGTCTTTAAGAGAAGGCTGGATAGGCATCTAGCTGGGGTCATCTGACCTCTAGCTGGGGTCATCTTGCCCCTGCCCTCTTTCCAGCCTAGGCAGGGGGTGAGACTTGATGATCTGTTGAGGTCCTTCTGACCCTAGCATCTATGAATCTATGAAAAGGCACAAAGGGGCAAGTTGGAAGCAGCTACTACAAGCACTCCTCCCAATGAACCCTGGTAGGCAGAGGATCAAGTCTAGTCCTGTTCTTCCAAAGGTCTCTTGGAGTCATTAGTGTTTAAACAATTCTCCTGCTTGGTGCATCTTTGGAGGCACAGCCACAATGTGGCCCTCTTTTACTAAAGATGTTGCCTGAGTCCTATGTCCCTGGTCTGCTTGGCCAAAGGAGGAACAGGAGAGATGGGTACGACATATCTGAATGAAGGAAAAGTTCAGACTTTGCAGATGGAATGGGCACTGAAAGGGAGAAAAAATACCAGAAGGTAGATTCCTGCTACAGTGACATTTAACTTGTGCTAACTGCCCTCTGAGCATCTCAAAGTTACACCACTTCAGGTGAGAATTAACCCATGCTACCTAGCTTGTGTTAGGGTAACTTCAGTCTTTTCCACAGAGACAAAATGAGCAATTTGTAATCTTCTAGCATCCCAGAATGCACCAATTCCAGCCTCCTCCTCCCCACCCAGAGCAGGGATAGAGGTCCTAGCTGCACCCCTTCTTACCGGCTCTTTAGTGGCAAGTCAGAGCTGTGCAGACAAGAAACGGTATTACTCATAACGTGCAACTGCTCACCACACATCCTAACTTTAACGCAGCTTAACATTCCCCAGATTTAGTATGTTCTAAGTGTAATGCGTAACTTCACCCATTTGTCTAACCTACTCTTAAAACCTTCGAATATCATTGCAGAATGCTAAAATCTCCTCTGCAGTTAAGTGAGTTCACTGCTATGCTACAAAATCTTTACTTCTGGTGGAAAGACAATGAGGCTAATATCTTGTCTAGCTCTTTCAGAAGGAAGGAGGGACAGTGCTGTGGTTCCAGCACTGAAGCAGGAGCTGGGTTCTAAACCCAGCACTGATACAACCTTGCTTCTCAACCTTTGGCCTGCCACTTAAATTCTCCATGTCTCAACTTCCCCACCTGTAAAAAGGAAGTAATTATACTTCCCTCTCTTGCAACTACTGCCCTTCCCTCCCACATTAGCTACTGCCTAAGATGTTCAGATTCTAGCAATGAGCACCATAGAAACCCTTGTGTGAAAATACCTTTATTGATTCTTTTTGGAATACTAGTTTGGATCAGGAGCGTACAGCACACTCAGTGTACAAGCACACTTGTACAAGCTATGGGTAATGTGGGTTAAGTTATCTGTGCTTTTGTTTATATGATCTTGTCTGCTGCTGTTGAAGTCCTAAGGCTTGTTTTGGTGATAAAGCAGAGTACTACAAAGTCTAATGTTGGGAATTGCACCTCTTCCCCCACCCAGTGAAGAAAATAAGTGGGAGTTCTGGAGTCGTGCAACATAAACCTCTCCGGCTAGCAAACCCTAAGTGGGCTTCATTCCTTCCCTCAATGGTGGAGCATCAGCAATAGCTTCCAGTGCAAGAGTAGAAGTAGTTAGGTATCTATTAAGTGGAATCTCGTAAGCACAACTGAAGGTTCCCCAGGCAAAACCAGAGGCTCCTACATAACTGCAAAGAGCCTCCCACTGCCTTGTGTACCATTCCACTGTTGTTAGCCACTCAAGGTATCCATCTTAATCCATCATTGTCTCCCAACCCATCCTCAAATCACCTCCTACATAATCACTGCTAGCTCTGGCACCCCTCACCTCCCCCACATATGCAACCAAGACCTGAGCTCTTTGCTATTCCTAGCTTGTACCTTGAATTCCTCACCTTCACAGAAGCAACAACTTCTGCAATGCCTCCTAGATTCATAAGGCAACAAGCTCCCCAGAAAGGCCAAGAGTAGAACTCAAGCCAGTGTCCTAATACAGCTATGGTGCTGCAGAAATAGTGAGGATAATAGTATAAATGGTAACAACCAAGAAGGGTAGCATTTTGGGGGGAGCATGTTTTAGTGGGTAAGGCACTGGATTAGAGCCTATTGACTTCCTGTGTGACCCTGTGTGAGTTTATTTCTCTTTGTACTTGTGTTTCCCCTCCCATCCTTGTGTACTGAGGTTGGCAGGTTTTCAGGGCAGAGACTGTCACTTGCCATTAGCTTCTATGGTGCCTGGCAGAGAGGGAATACAATCTCAGCTGCAAACTCAATGAACCACTGTATGATTAAACAAAGAAAGCACATAGTTACCATTCTCATCCTCACTGAAGAGCGTTTGCCCCTTAAAGACTTTGGTTCCTACTTGTATCTGTCCTGGTTGCATGTAAGGCCCACTCAGTTTGTTGTCCCTGCACAACTTGGTGAGTATTTCAGTGGGTTTGGTTGCATCTCTCCAGGCATTGTACCCTTCTCTGCAGTGAGGGGAGAAAGAGGAGAGAAAAATGGGGAAGGCATTCCATACAACTAAACGCTGTAACTGGTCAGGAGCACTATGCTGAATATCAGGTTACCTGGCCAATGGGCTTGTTGTATGGGAACACAAAGATGAATGGAAAAAATATAATGTTACGCAAGTGACACAAGCCAGAGTTGCACATGTCCCGTGAATCTGCTGCATAGCCTTATAGATCCATCCCAGTGAATGTGAAATCTCAGCACCACTTCTCTGGCCAAGAAACACCGAGCAGGACTTCTTCTGGAGCTGGCAAATGCCACACCTTCCTCAAGGAGTTTCCTCTGTGTACCTGGAATCCAGAATCCCGATCCCTCTTTCTTTCAAAATAAACTGAGCAGGGCTCACTCTTTTCTTTTAAAATGCCTGAGAAGATGATGTCTCCACAGATGACTTTTGTACAATAGTTTGGTGGCTGTAGCACTTGCGTATAAGGCTAGGGACAGACATTACACATAAACCAGTTTAAGTGATCAGAAACTGGTTTAAACCTGTAACAGAACAGATGTTCAGTGCACATAAACCAGTTTGAGATTGGCTGAAACTGGTTTGAGATAAACATGGTTGAATGTAGTATCAGAATTAACCTATTTGGCTCAAACCAGTTTATGCAATGTCTGTTCCAGACCCCTTGCTGGTTTAAGCTAAACCAGACACTCCTAGCATCCTGGCATGCTCTCTGGGCTGGGCAGGGCTCTCTGCTCTACAGCAGGGCTGACCCCTCCCCTCTGCTCCCTGGCTGCAGCTCTGGCACAGACTGTGGGCTGCTCCCCACTCCCCTCACCACTCCCTGCTAAGCAGGAATTCCCGCCTCCCCTCTGCCTTGCTGAGGAGGTGTCTGTGTATTAGCTAGCAGACCACATGCTGGCTGCAGTCCCTGCTGAGTCAACAGGTAGAATCAACAGGGACAATCAACAAGTAGCTGGTAATGTCCCTCTACTGTTTTCTTATTTGGGTGATAAACAGTGTTATCAATTCCCTCTGGGCTAATCAGAGCTTCTGCCACACCCCACTCAGCTCCATGCTGTGGAAGGAAGGGAGGGCTTCTCTAATGCCCCCTAGCTTCTAGCCTGAGCCACTGCAGGCATGTGCCTGCATTTCTGGGATTGCTGTCTGGTTACAAACCTGATTTAGCCTAGCCAGGTTATATTAACCTGCAAAGATTGAATCAATTCAGGCTCAGGCTTTTTGAATGTCTGTCCCTAGCCTAAGAGGAAGCCCTAGGTTCAATTTTCACCTCTGCCTGAGAGTATTCAAGCCCACAGCTCCCAGGAGAGTGCCCCAACCACAAGACCAGAGGTTGTTCTGGATGGGGGCAAATGCTACCCTTCCTGTGGAAGCAGGGCTAACTCAGTGGCCAAGAGTACAAGAGTCACTGGGCAAGACAGTGAGATCACACACACAAGAAAGTCTGACTGCAACGTAGCAGTGGGGAGTCCTGACTTCCTGCCTAGGCTCCCATGGCTGTTTCTTTACTTTATCAAATGTCTTTGTAAGGTAAGACACAGAACAGGCAGCAGAACCCAGGAGTCCCCCCTCCCAGAGAAGTACTGAACCCCCAGGCTAGATTCAGGCTCCTTCTTGGGTTTTATCTGACCAAATGAATCTTAAATCCTTTTCTATATACTATATTATACATTAAACCCAGGCCCAGGTCATGAAACAACACTCAGTCTGACTACTGATGTAGAACATGGCCTTATTTCCACTATCTCCAAAATCCAGAAGCAAATCCTCTTCTCTCATAAATATCTGAAATTACAGAGAGGTTTTACTGGTTGTGGTATAATTACTCTGCATTTTTACATACCAAATCAAGAGCAGGATGGAGTCTGTTCACTGCTGCACAGCCATCCCTGACAGCTATATTTATTTATACTTTTAGCCAGTAAAATTTCCAATTGAAGTTTCTTCAGTGGAGACATTTAAATATAGACAGTTGGCTTGTTAGAACATTTTGTGAGCAAACATTGCTCTTAGTTTTAAAAATCAAATGGTGTCCATACAGATTGTCAACTACTCTAAAGCCACTGCTGAACTTTGTGGCAGGATTCGATTTAGTAAACACTACACAATGCAATGGTTGGAAAAAAGGCACTATTTGGCTGCATGTAGAAACTTCTCCACAGGTCACTTATTTACCATGTAGGCACACAACAAGCATCTGAAGAGAATCTTACATTTCATATTGACTCTGGAGCCCGCAGGTAGCTCGGTGTCTGCTGTAGAAACGATTTTCCAGATCAATTTTTGTTTCTCCAATGAGGTCATCTGTTCCAATCAAGTCATGGTCATAGATCAGGATGGAGAGCAGGGAATCCTTTGGGAAAATGGCCTGTATTTCAAAAGACCTAGGACAAAAATGAATAAGCACTTGTCAGCCAAATCATTTTTAAAGCTAAATCAATAAAGATATAGCACAGTAAACACATGAATCAAGCAACACGTGCTGAACCAAGTGTTCGGAAGAGGTGAAATCGGTAACAGCTAGAGATGCTCAGTGCTTCTGGAAAACGAGCTTTACTGGCCAGATTTTAAAAAGCTCTTGAAAATGTGGCCTCCATGGGCATGTCCAGATGAGTGTGCATGTGCAGTATGCAGTGCTTCAAACCACATGCACCACACATACCGGCATTTGCCACACTGCTAATTTGTAGTGTGGTGGGTTTTTTGACACCTAGAGATCCCAGCAGCAGTGTGCACCACCTGAAACTGGAGCCTGTCAGCTGGAGCCACACTCTGACTGCCGACCAGGCTCCATGCACCGTACTGCTGCTGCTAGAGCCCTGGGAAGCCCCCAGCACCCCAGGTAAGGCTGCTAGGGCCACAGCCTCCCCTACCCCACCTGAGGCAACTTGTCATGTGCCAGAGCGTGTGTGCATGAGACAGGGACAAGTGGCAGTGGCACCACTATGTAGTGCTGCTATTTGTCCCCAGGGAAACGCATGTGCATGCTGGTTTGGGTGCACCCCGTGTGTCTAAAGCTGGGAATCCATAGCTAGGGCTACTTTTGAATAACATACAGACTGCTCTTTTGGTTGATTCTAAAGGTAAGAATTTATTTCCATGCAATACTTAGATTTAAAAGATGATACGCATTTTTTAAATAGGCTTTACTGTCCCGGTATCCATTTTACTTTACACCTAAATAATAGAGTCATTAATATGAGCTGACTAGATCATTTGTTGCTTCATTTCTTCTTGTACAATAACATACAAAGCTTTCTGCAGATTGAATTTCAGGAAGTGTTGGGCCAGCATGGAAACTGAATAAGTTATGATCATGCAACATGACACAAATTCTTGGGATTTAATCAGTACAATTATATGACATCCAAACAGATATGCATCAGTGTATAACAAATGCACTTAGCTCTTCATAACAGTAGAAATATCTGTAGAAAACTAAAGGCAGGAGGCACCATGAATCAAAATAAAGCTATTACTAACCTCCCAAAAATTGGATTTAGCTGTTTGGGGATGTAGTTTTCACGGTCTTTAATTTCAGTTTTGCCTAGTCTCAGCACAATATATGGATCTGATTTGCCATCTGGATCAGCTGGGCTAAGGTTAAGTGCCTGGTAAGAACAAAAGACTGTTACATCATTGATTCATGAAAGGTCACAGTTCAATGGATTGTGTTCTGTTGGAGTTAGCTGCTCACTGGTGCAGGAGGTGTTCTGAAAATGCAAAAGCTTAGCCAGCCCCATCTGCTAACATCATTACTACTACTAACTGGTGGTGGCTGTGGCTATGACTGTTGCTGAGGCTGCTGGTCATGGTTGCTGCTGTGATGGTTATAGTTGGGTTTATGGTTGCTGGTGGCAGTTTAGGTTGTTAACACCAGTTAAGCACTGGGGGCATACCGTTTAAAGGATGCCTAGCCCCTGACTGCAAGAGGCTAGAGAGGTTATGAGGGGGCCACTTCTGGTCACAATGGAATGGATGAAGAGACACAAAGTGGAAAGGCCAAGGCAAGAAGCTGCCTGTTTGAGGCTTTCAAGTCCAAACTACCTTGAGGATACCTTGCCCTTGCTGCTTTTTCTCTCCTTCCTTGCTTTGTCTCCCTTTCCCTCTCTTGTACTTTCCAAAAAAACCCCAAATGTCATCTTCTCAGGCTTGACCAGCGTCCCTGAGATTTTCAATGAAAAAGTTACAGAATCATAGAGAAGTCTCATAGAGAAGTAGGGCTGGAAGGAACCTCCATACTACCTACTCCATTTCAGGGCTACTAACTGCACATCAGAGATGACCCTTGAGATGGGCTCAAAGTGCAGTGCTGCTGTTCACTGCTCTTGCTGTAATGGAATTGTGCCATGTGGATAAAACTTTTGAGAAGCTCTCTTAGATACAAACCAGAAGAAGACTTTGAGTATCAAACCATTATTTCAAGGCAGAAAGAGATGCTGTCTACTTACTGCCACAATGTACACCCTGATCAGGACTTTGATGGAGTGGTTCGGTGGTACCCCAAGCAAAACCTTAGGCTGCCCTCCGTCCATCAAGCTGGAATCTTCAGGACTTTTGTAGATGCAGAAAGAGCCCTGCGAGTACACAGTTATTTATTTCTCTTGTAAACACAGTATAAGCCTCTTAGGGTGCTTAGCCATTTGCCAATTTCCATGGTTTTCAACATTGAAGGCACTGCTTCAGCCAATTTAAATGCACCTGCTCTTTCATGCAGGAGCAGCTTACTCTCAACCTTTTAACATATTAAAACTCCTTGTAACATTGTTTCTCAGAGCCTGTGTTCAGCCTTTGCTCAGTTGATCACAGGTTACTCAGAGTCTTGACCCTAAGAGAGAAACTGACAGGGCCTAGTCATTTCCAGTCGGGGTGTGCGGAATGGGCCCTATTCGATCTGAATTCCGATTCGGCCTAAATCAGTGATTGATTTGTTGATTCGGATCACTGTCCTCAATTCAATTCAGCCGAATCCAATCTGAATATTTGATGCTGATTCAGCCATAGACACAGCTTTGGCGGGGGAAGAGGGGGCAACATGCTTGGCGGCAAACCCGGACTAGTATTTCTGGTCCACTTCTGGGTCTACCGGGGAGCACACCAGGCGCCCTCCCATGCCCCCCTGGCTCAGCGATCAACTGCAGGGGGGACCCTGGGTGTCTCCCCAGACCCAGGAAGCACAAATCACCAAGCTGGGGGGTGGGGGGGGGGGCTCCCCTGCATGCTCCCCAGTGGACCCAGTGGACCCAGAAGTGGTCCAGAAATGCTGGGGAGCCCCCCGTGCTCCTGTGGGACACTCCATCTGTCCCAGCATCTCAGCTTTCACGAGCCATGCCTGGTGCCTCAAGGTATGTAGAAAAAACATTTAAAGCTGTGTCTATGTCCGAATCTCTGAATCTTTCCGATTTGATTCAGAGAGATTAAAGGGTCTCCTGATTCAATTCGGATTCAGAGATTTGGTCACCAAATCAAGTCAAATCTCTGCTGAATCAAATCAGTGACTGAGGCTTTGCATAGCCCTAATTTCCAGGGCTACTAACTGCACAGGAGTGATGGTCCTTGATACAGTTTGCAACAGGGGTGCTCAGCTCTCTGACCCCATGAAGACCTGACCCAGTGTAGGGTCAGCCCACAGGTGTGATCCAGTGCTGGCTGAGCTGCACATGCCAGAAATAGCCATATGCTGGCTTGATACCACACACTGGACAGGGTTGCGTGCTGACCCAGTCCTGTGTGCCAGATTCTGCCATGTGCTTTCCTAACCTTATGCATCAGACCTGGCCACAGAGTGACCTTACACACCAGTCCTCCTACATGCCAGCATATGTAGTGCTCAGGCTCACACCTATTTTACAGTGCATCACAAAGGAGATATTGCTTTGACAAATGGAAAAGTAATATCCTGAAGACCAAAGTTTTGTGCCTTTCATTAGTCCCCCAGCTCACTACCTTTCAATAACTGTATTTCATTAGTTCCAAGCCATTCCAAGAAATACCCGCAAGCTCCACTTCACAATTTTATTAAAGAAATGTCCGTGACATCTGTGGCCATTTCCATGTCCCAAATACTAATACCCTAAAGCTCACATCTTGCTCTTCATTACACTGGTCTAACCTGAGTGTAATGTCAATTGATTTAAACCAGGAGTGTCACATTCATCTGACCTTGTGAGGTGGATGAAGGGTGTGGGGCTGGTTTGCAGGCTGGATTGGGCCCATGCAATGGATCCAGCTCAGAAGGCTGGTCCAATGCGGGCACCTCATGCAGTGCATGCCTTGGACCAGCCTTGCACATTGCATGCAGCATGTGCCAACCCTGGTCCAGGGCTCTCACACAGAGCTGGCATGGGGTGCCTGCTGTATGAGGTGGTCATTCCAGACTAGCCCTAGGTGCTGGCTCTATTACATGGGGCTGGTCTGTGGGCCTGATCAGGACTGGCCTCAGAGCCAGTGTGCAGGGCTGGTCCAGCAGGGTACTGCATGCAGTGCATGCCCTGGACTGATCCCCTATGCCATGTTCAGTGCCTACAGCACCAGGTGCATCCCCACACATTGTGTGTGGTGTGTGGGCTGCCACATGCTGTATGCAGCATGTGGGGTCAGTCCAAGATCCACAGGCTGGATCATAGAGCTCCACAGGCCGGATCATAGAGCTCCACAGGCCGGATCTGGCCCCCAATTTAAACAGTAACCTGGTAATGATGCTTTTATAACTTGGAACACAATTTGCCACTAAAAAAAACTTTAAAAGGGGTAGCCCCAATGCCTAGAACACAAAACAAAAGCTTGTGCTTTAATAACTTGTACCACTTCAAATAAATTAGTAAAATATCTTTAAACAGACACTTGCACAGCAATGTACTTGTTCAAGGCACTGATTCTCCTGAAGCACAGAGTACTTCAGTCTGAAAGCAGGAAAATATTACTTTCATTGTGCTTGGAATTACATTTGCAGATTTTCCCAACATGTAAGAAATGTGGAATAGTCTCCCTGTGGATGTAAGTAGAAGCTTCATCATTTAAGCTATTCAGCGTATTTGAAATTATCTTTCGGAAATGGGGTTACATTAGTAGCAGCTGGACTGCATAGCACAGTCATTCTGTTCTGGCTCTAATTACTGCGATGCAGTGCAGCTCTGGAATTGTAGCTATGGGCCCTGATTCGAAACAGTAGTAAACACTGTGGGCTGGACACTGACTTCAATTGTCAGGTAATAGAAGAGATCATAAAACACCAAACTTCCTAAAACTTCAAACTTTTCTGTAACACATTGTGACTTTGGCTGCAACAGGAGAGCTAATTATAGGAGCAGACTACCAATGCTTTTTGAAAAACATTCCCGGTACATGTGGAACGTCGGTGAAAACATGCCCCTCTTTAAATTGCCAGGCACCAAATCAGCATTTAAGCTCACCTTAAATTTTCCTATTATTCTGTCCTCATGGTCACCATGGCCTTCATCATTGGATTTGCCTCTTAAGAGTTGAAAGGTCTTCACCCAGTCTTCAAAGTTATTAAATTCACTCTCTAGGTCTCCATCATAGATCTTGAAACATGGGAGAATGCTCATTGCTTAAGACATAGTAAGTACATGTACAACCATTGTTGCTGTAGAGGGTAAGCCCAAGATCAATTTTAGCTTGGAAAAAGGTTTTATAAAATCAAGTATTTGCAAAATTCTTTGGGAACCAACAGGAAAAGATCCCCTCCTCCGCTGCTGCTGCAAAATGTTTTATTTTTAACAAATGTTCATGGTATTTTGCCACCCAAATATTTTAGCAGCACCTTAATGCACAAGACATGACAAGAAGCATGGCAGCATGACAAAAAAAGAAAAAGAAGTATTGTCAATAGCAGTCTTCCTGCTCTAGATAATGCAATCCATTTATTATCTAAAAGAGGGTTTTCCACCTCTGTCTGCTACAGCATTATTCTGTGAGAATTTGAATGTAAAGGTGAAAGGGGGTACTCCATTTCTTTTGCTCAAGGTGAGGCCTTTCTAGTTTAAAAGATGATATAAAGGCTATCATTTCATTATATTACAAACCTGTTTCATGTCCCCTTTTGTACAACTCCTAGGTTTCTAATCATTTTCCTTGTTCCTAATCTTTTCTTTGAACATCCTCTATTGTTACTTTGTCTTTTATAAGATAGGGAGAATAGCATCTAATATATTATTCCCAGTAAGAGCAGACTATCCATTTATATAAGACTTTGAATACTATTTACTTTCCCAATTCTTATACACCTCACATTTCTGGAGGTGCATTCCTGGGCTGATGTTAATAGATGTTTTAGACTAAATCATTGAACATGTTTAATTGCCTTGATACAATAAGGTGTGGAAAAATTAATTTAATTAGCTATATCCAAGGTGAAAACAAAAGGAAACAAAAAAGGAATAGGAGTCTAATATTTAGTAAGGGTGACATTCAACCCTCTTCTGAGTAGCAGTACAATGACTAAATTCCACTCAAGACTCACTGTAGGCGAAGTCCTGGGTACAGCAGTCAATTTTGCCTTTATAGGATAAAAACAAAGTAATGAAATATTTTTCACCTGCAAAGTTGCCAGATTTGGGGCTTCTTCCTTTACTTTCTTTTGGAGTAACTTATTTTTCTTCTTTTTTTCTGATGTCTCTTCAATGTTTAATGTTACACAGTCAGAAGTCTGCTTAGCTACAGAGATTTGATAACATCATTTAGGCGTTAGTGATTGCAATGATGGACCAACCTCAAATGTTTTAGTTGAGTTGGCAAAAGAAATATACAGATGTCTTATTCCCTTCCTTCTTCTCCACTTACCCTCTCTCATCTCAAGCAAGTCAGAGATCCCTCTCCTTTTCCATGCCTTTTCCTTAACAGAAACACAATTTTTATACCTCTCTGCTGCTGAGTACTGTCAGATGACAGGATTATGCTTGTTTCCCAAACCTGGTGACTTCCATTGTCACTCTATCCTCCATGCACACATTATTTTCTCCTTGTCCCTCCTTTAATCCTTCTTCTTCAGCACTCCTTTTCAGGGAGAGGCTTATCCTTGTGGACTGCCACTGCCAGAATGACTGCTTCTTTGTGATCTCCTATGACCCAGATTTTCCTCAAGGCAAAGGCAGCACAGAACACATCTCAGCATGCCTCTGACCTTGAGGAAGCCCCAGAGAATGTGAGCTGCAATGATGGCAACTGCTAAGCAGAAACAAATTGGTTGAGGCGCCACCAAATACCGAAAAAGGCAAGAAGGACCTTTGAAGTCTAGGTATTTATTCCAACTGTCCACTGTTATTCTGGCCTGGTTGTATCTAGGCTTAAGTTTGGGACAGTCTCACCTTATCAACTGCACTAGCTCTAACATAAATAAGACATGATTATTATTATAAGGAATAACTTTATAACTATGCAAGCATTTAAGCACTGGGACTGATTATCTAGAGACGTTGTGGAATCTCCCTCCTTGAAAGTTTTTAAAAGGAAGTTAGGCAAGCATTTCACTGGAACAGTTTAGATAGGAATGTCCTGCCTTAAGAGGGAGGTTGGACTAGATGACCTCCTGAGGTCCGTGCCAGCCCTACTTTTCTATGATTTATCTATATTTTATATTAGGTATATGTTTATATTTAAGGGTATATTTATACATTGATTTGTATTTATATAAGAGTATATGTATCTGTATATTTATATTAACAATATAGGATTGGAAGGGATGGATATCAAGCTCAGTCCTAGTTGTATAAATCTAGATACAAATATGAAACATATCAAATAAAAATAATTTAGTGCTTTTCAGCTTTCAAGTTGTCAGCCTGGTCAACTGCAATGGAAACTCTACCAAACACATTATCATTGTACATGGATATGATGTCAGACTTTTGTACAGCATTTCCTGTCTATCAAAACATTTATCTCATGTAGACTGGTATGAAATCATCCACTCTACTAAGGTAATGGAAACTGTAGTCAGCTGCTTCTCCCAACATAATGACAACTGATATAGAAAGATCCTCAAAATGCTTTGGGAACCCTAAATTACTTCAACCACTAGAAAAATGCTGTCACCTCTAGGATGGGAATGAGGGCAGCTTTTTAAATATGAACAGCAACTCTGCACAGCCAGTACAAACATTAGATTTCCTTCCTTGTCAAATTTAAGAAATTGGATTAGCAAAAATATTTGCTATAGGCATGGGTCACTATTACAGTGACCTGTAAAGCAACAGATTACTGTGTTTTATTAATGCATTTACTGTCTATTCTTGGCAAATCTCTCCAAGTGCTGATGCTAAAGATTCTTGAGTCAACTTTGAGTTGGACACAGCGGTGGTAAAGCCTCTCAATTCTGTAATCCTTCATAGTCTATTTGTAGTGTTTTGGTTCTGGGTTGCACTTAAAATTTTTCTTATATTTTGGACACAATACAGCTGCTGCCCAAGAACGTGGTTGTCTCCTTACAGCATGCAACCTTGTAAATTCATCCATCATTTTGAGGCTGAAATCTGCAAAGAACTGCTCATGACATTTTAATATATTTAATATCTAACCCAACATAACCTAATCCAGGTATGTGAAGACTTCACCCTTGGTGCAATGCTACTAAAAGTAACCATGGACACGGTAAATATTCTTCAATTACCACTGAAACAAATTATTACAAGTAAAAATTATGCAAATATATTTCTCACTGTTGATGGGTTTTCCATCACTGGGATAGATTCCTTTTGCCTATCAAAACAAAAAGAGAATGGACAATATAAATATAAAAGGAATAATAAAAGTGAAGTCATTTAGCACACAACCTGGTTTTCAAATACCACTCATCCACTCAGTTGCACATTTAATTGAAGCCCTGACCTTTTGCATTTTTAGCACAGAAGCAAAGTACTTTGACCACCAGTCAATGACATTTTCAGCAGATTCATCCACTAGAGTTCTCTTTTTTCTCTTGGTAGATCGTCGGGAAGATTTACTTAAGTCCTAAGAAAAATGTAAGGAAAATGATGTTAAAGTCAAAGATTGTGAGCTTTTAAAAGCCAAATCGATTGTGAAGACAAGAGGAACAATGTGGGTAGAATGGATTTTCTCTTCTAAGAACTAAGCAACTGTTACATTTATTTTGCTTCTCCCTATTTATAATCTAATAGAGAACCTGTTGTGGTTAACATGTTATCCATGCAGTTGCTACATTATTTTGACTGACACCAAAATAGTGTACTTCTAAAATCTGATACAAAGCAAACCATTTAAAGGAAAGCTTTGCCATAAAGAAACTAATATTCATGAAAATACACTTTTTGCTCTGCCCTGGTTTCTTTACCCCTCCCAGATCACTGAGTTTGGGACAGTTTGCAGATATACCCAGGACTTTCAGTATTTCCGACACATGAGTTATGAAGCCAATAAGGATTCTCAATGGCCATTGAAAACACAGCCATTTTGCCCTTAGAAAAGTAAAAGACAGTACCTGCAAACCAACTGCTTGTGCAAGCAGTCCTACTGCCTTCAGTTAGATTACTCATATAACTAAGTATTGGGCCCTATTAAATTTGCATTCAACCTTTCATACCAGTAAGGAGTTGCGGCATGTCATTGGCACGTATTTAGCAGTGCAGTTACAACAGCAGCTATCATAACCTGTATTAGGTGCACACAATTGAATCACCTGTCTCTACCTATGCACTGTTCTTTATTGTATTGCCCTTGTATCTTTAAATGCAATGGTAAAAGATGATAAACACACAAAGGTGTGTATATAGAGGGTCTAAACATCACTGCATTTCTTAGACCTTCAAATTATAAATATACTAGCCGGGTCTAATTATGAGAAGCTGCTTTCTTTATCCCACTGCCAAAACCAACTGAAATGGAATACAAAGGCCTCCAATTGAGTCATTGTCTGTTTCTAATATTAAAAATGAAAGAATGACTATTATCAGTGAAACTGAAACCAAAAAAAAAAAGAAAGAAAGAAACAGTTGCTGGCCCATATTTACACACACAACTGATCAGAAAAAAAATATTTCAGTCTAAAATATATATTGCCCACCATGATAGCCAATATCATCTCACTGTTCCCTGGTGCTTCCCCATCCATTTATTCCCCAGTGGTCACTGGTCTGATATTCAGATTGCAAGTGCTGTGGGGAAGGGACCACCTTTTTGTTCTGTCTTTGAATAGCATCAAGCCAGAGTGGCATCCTGTCCCATGACTGGAACTGCTAGGCTCTAAGACAACATCACTAATATAAATAATGAGAAATTACTTCCAAATAACTCTTAGCTGATGGCCTCAGCTGTGCCCACCTTTTGTTTTCCATCTTTTGTTCGCTGAGATGAGGAAAATGAAGATTTAGGAGCAGGTGGAGTCAATGAAGAGGTAGCAGGTACAGTTGCTGGAGAAGGAGATCGTGCTGGAACTGGTTCTGGCATTCCTACTGCAGCAGTATCATACTCCACATCAACATATATATGATCTGTTGGGGGCGGCTGTTCTTGGGGTGATTCAAGTAGCTTTGATGACTCCAGTGATGCTGAAATTAGAGGCAGAGCAAGCTGGGTAAGACTTTGCCAGAAATGATGGTCATCATGTTGATGCTTAAACAGTTATTAACAATAATGCCTGTCCTTATTCATTGATAGTGCACAATCTGGCAAGGGGCTAAGCAATTATCCCCAACCCAGAAATCCTTTAAGTAATGTTTTGCTTTAAGCATGTGTGCAGACTCACTGCAATAAATGATCAAATGACAATTGTTTCACCAAAATAATTACTTTGTATTTTTATTTGGAATTTGGTATTTTTAATCTAGAATTTACCTCTGTCGGTTTCTACAACTTCCACTGCCTTTGCTGTAGCTTCAGGAAGCCCCTTAGGCTTATATAGAAACTGCTTCAGGCAGTTGATGGTGTGTGTTCCAACAAGCGTGCTGCGACCAAAGGCTCTCCAGTCCACAACACAGATACTAAGGGGCGGGTGCAAAAGTTCATTTTCAGGTAATTCCTATCAAAAGAGAACAGACAACCCATTTGTTTTGTTTGTTTGCTCCTGGACTGAGTAGTCATGAAATGCAATAGTTTGGCTGTGCTGGTTATTAAATGCGTCAAGGTGAACAAAATGGTTTAGAGCAGAGGTGGCCGACCTGTGGCATGCATGCCACAAGTGGCACAGGTAGCTGCTGTGTTTGGCTCATGGCAGATCAAGTTGGGGGTAGGGATCAGAGTGGCAGATCAGGTAGAAAGTGGGGGAGCAGAGTAGTACCGGGAAGGGGGCGGGGGAGCAAGGTTTAACTTGTGACACCTGCCAAAAAGGTTGGTCACCACTGGTCTAGAGCAGTGAAGAGGAGTGAATGTTGAGAGGAAAGAATTTATCAGTCCAATAATAATGTCCCCGCCAGTGACTTTGCCCTTGTACCTCCTAGTTTCTCTTTCCAGAACGTGAGGACAATAAATACTTACCTATTATGGAAGGCTTTGGTGAGGATCAACTAGGTAATGTCTCAGTGGCAATGTGTAGGGAATGCACGGGGGTGCACGTGCACCCCCTGAGAGCACCAGTGCACCCCCTGTCGGGCTGCGCTCCCTGGTCAGGCGATGGGCGGGGGGGGCAAGCGGAAGTCCCAGTGCCCCCCACTGTGAGTGCCGGCCGGGGAGTGCAAGTGCTAGATGTAGACCGCTTCCAGGAGTGCCACGGCCTCTTTCGGGAGCAGTATGGCAGCTCACCGGTTGGAAAATTTTGCCATGGGATGACCCATTCCCCACCCCCGGTTGGCAAGATTGGCCGTGGGGGGACCCCCCTGGTCGGAGAGATTGCCCGCACTGACTGATCACTGGGGAGGGGGCACATGCCAGCCCTGACTAAGGTGGCACCAGTCATCCATGTAATGTCTATATAGTACTTTAAACATGTCAAGTGCAACAGAAGTTAAAGATACCAAAATAAAACAGAAACAATTTAGGTAGTGCTGCCACCCCTGAGATAGCATTGTGCTTTATGAATACTTCAATAGATCTTCATCTCCACTGTCCGTTCCTATCCTACAGGCCAGTGCACAGTAATTAAAATGTCCAAGCATGCCTAATAAGGGATAGATTCAAGTCAACAATATAAAAGTCTCCAATGCTTCTGGGCCACTTAACCGCCCGGTATGGTAACAAGGGTTTAAAAATGAAAGAAATCCAAATTGTAACATATCTTTGGGGAGAAAAAAGTCCTGCTGTCTAGCAACAAGTTCCACCCAGTGGATCTAAATTTAATTGCAATATGCTTCATTAATGATCTGGCCTAAATGAGATGCAGCTTCTGAACAGTTTCTTCTTCTAGCAAAACATTGGTAATTGTATCCATCTGGAGCACCTTTAAACGATTAGGTTAATGTATAAGTAATGATTTCTCTCAATGTATAATTAAGACACAGAGGAGCGGTCTGGCAGGGAATCACTGAAATAAGCCATTCATTTATGTCTATCACAGGGACCACACCATGGCCAGGGGCACCACATAGTACGCACCACTTCAAACCAATCTGCTTGGACATTGAAGTTGGGGTTTTTCTTGTAGCTCTGGATGACACACGATTTAGCGGCTTTCCCTCCACATTCAATGAGAACTTGGGGGCGGTCTACAGAAAGAAGCTGGACCTTCTTCAGTTCACGAACACCCCAGAACAGAACCTATATGGAGGGTTGAAGAGACGTGGTCAGCAACATGCAGCTACCACCAGGAACCAGGGGGCAGACTCATTCTGGCTATACCGAGCAGCAGAGCGTACTTCTAAAGCTGGCCCCAGAGGACTACAAGAACTTGCCTCAGACAACTGTCATTTTCTGCAGTAAAAAAATGGCATTACAAGTTAAAGCAATTAACAACTTCTGATCATTAACCAAACACTGAGATCATCATCAGCAACAGCTGCAGCAATAGCAACAATAATAGTTTTATTTGTAATATTCCTCTCCTTTATCAGGCACACATGCCTATGTGATGGAAGTACATAAACCCCACCCTAGTTGGGAAGAGGTTAATAGCAGCTACTCTGCTCAACTAGGGCTCATGGCTACACCTGGATATGGACATTTAACTGTCAGCAGGCAGACCTTCAGAGGATGCAACTTTCCTTTAGAAGGGGCTTGGAAAATGGAGGCAACGAGGAGAGTTTTGATTGGGGAAGAGTTCAAGTGTGAAAAGAGCCAGTGCCTGGTGTGAGCCCTTAAGCCTAAAGAAGTAGGGTTGCTATTTTGCCAGGAACTGGGTGATGTGTCTAGAAAGGACTAGAAACACAGGCCTAGAGCTGGCAAAGAATGACTGTGTTGAGTTTGATTTGATATTTTCTTGAGGGTAATTGATGTTAACATACTCCTTGGTGGAGAACTAAGGTCATGTAGATGATGGGGGTAGTCAATCTGCTGCATGAGTGCCACAAGTAGCAAGGGAAACCTGTGTGTGGCCCGTGGCAGATCAGGGAGGGAGCAGGGAATACAGTGACTTATTGGGCACATTGTGGAAAGCAGAGTAACTGGGCAGGAGAAAGGGAACAGACTGGCACTTGGAGATGGTGTAGGGTTTTATCTGTGGCACACCTACCAAAAAAGCTGGCCCCCATTAATATGGACAAGCTGTAGCTGAAATCTGGCCCTAATTATTTTCAAGATCAAATTCAGTGGGCAAGTTACCCATACCTTTCAGGGCCCCTACCTGACCTGGCCCTCTGACTTGTTTTCACAATCCTGAGGAATTTTACTTATGTGTCTAAATAAAAAGCTTGCACAGCTAAACCTTGTGGCCTACTGTGACAATGTAGGCAACTGAGAGTCTGAAACAGTTAAAATATTGGTTTTGGCCACTTACCTCCACTCTGTATTTACTTAAAATGGGCCGGATGTTGGCTGGAACTGGATACATCTGGCTAACATCAGGTAGATCTAATGGGGGAAGGCTCTGTGGACCAGAATCAGGAACCTAAGAATAAAATGGTTGATAGCTCTTATTGGTCTGTGCAGAAATAAAGATCTGTTCAGAGCTTCCTGTAACTTGTACATAGAATAGAGCGCTTTACAGTGACTAGAGCTGTCATGTAAATGCAACAGTGAGAAAATGATATGCATCATGAGAAAGACAGGGCAAAGATTTCACGGGGAGAAATCATTTTATGTTCAATAGCATGTATTCAGGCAGCTCTCCAGAAAGTGTCTCTCTTCACTTGATAGACCATAATCTGCTGTAATGAACACATTACATGCCCTGAGTAATTATACTTAATAATATAATAACTAAAAGGCTGTCAAAAGATGATACTCTTTTAACTATGGTTCCTATTGAAAAAAAATGTCTGGTGAACTAAGAAGGGATGAACTGACTCACATACTGGCCACTATTTCAGAAGAACAATCTAGATAAAAATCCAGCAGACAACATTATTTAACCATCTTTTAAGGTGATCATGGCTCTGTTAACTCTGCCTGGAAGTCACACAAAGCCTGACATAACATGGGTGACTTGTCAAACTAGAAATACCATGTTCGGGAACAACCAAGCCTTGGAAATGTCAAGGCTGAGTCCTCCCTCTATACAGCATCCCACCAAGACGCTGGATGCGGGCAGCCCTTGTGCTTCTTGTAAGTGAGCTCACATGTATTCACCTTTGGGATGGGCAATGAGGCTGATATTCATATTTACCTCATATACCTATTTTGGATTGTGTGTGCATGTATGGGTGAGGGGGTAGGTGGAAGGGATGTCATAATATTTGTCTATTATCATTGACTTAAAGAATTCACTTAGTTGAATGACATTTACCTGTCAGCATGATCTGGCTCTCCCATTTCCCTGCATTTTTATTCCTTAACCCACTATACGTTTTCAAGAGTTGTTTGGTTCCTTTCCTTCCTCCCAAGTGTCTATAAGGCAGATCTACACCCTGCCTGGTTTAGCAGAACTTTGCTTTTACTTGATCAGGCTATGCCAAAAGAGCACTGCCTTCTTTAACAAAGATCTCTTCTCTACTAAAGCAAATTACACATTTCTAGTTTACAGATTATCTTGTGACTTGCTTAGCAACTGTGCTTAGCTTCATTACAATACATGAAGAGGTGGATATGGGAGAGGATAAGATGTGAAGTGTTTTCAGGTTAACTAAGGGACTGGGCAAATAGATCAAACAGATGGGCCGTATTGTGATACACGCTCCCTACAAACAAAAGGACATAGCTTGTAAGAAGCAGCGATGCCTTGTCAAAAACACTTCGTAATTACAAAGATAAATTATTGCTACTGAAAGGTTAAGGCTATGAGCTGCCATCACCAGGGGACCTGTGAATTGGTTCTTTTAAATGGGTGTCATCTGTCTTTTTTAGGTACTGATATGTGCTACTGTGTGGGAGGCTCAATTAACATAAGGAAGAGGAGATATTTTCCTGACTACCTTGTAGGTGCAAAGAACAGAAGGGTGTAATATATATCTCCTAGTCATTGCTTTGCTGTAAGAAGTGATGGCAATAATAAAACTAACAGCAATAATTCACATTTATATACACTAGCACCTTTTACCTATACGAATCCCAAAGCACCTTGTTTATTAGATTTCATGGAGGTCAAGGTTAGAAACAGGCATTAGATCAGCTAGTGTGAGCTCCTCTATATAATAGGCCACAGAATTATACCTGTGTACCCCAACTAAACTCAGTTAATTAGATTTCAGCATTTCAGTCCTCAGAACCATACACTGTCGCATGCCACAGAACTGGAGAAACTGGAGCATCACCCATGCCTGAGGTCCATGCATCACAAGCGTACTCAATAGATAAGATATGCCCCGGTGCTCTGAGCAGGCCTGCATACCCCATGGTGCAGAGGAAAACAAACCAGCTCCCTGTGGCCCTCACATCTCTGCCACTCTGATACCCCACCCTGTAGGTGTCAATCAGTCTGATCCCGAGAAAATGAGCAGGACCTGCCAGCCAGGAATCTAAGAAGATGTCTTGGATCGCCTCAGAGCTCTGCCCAACCCATTTGATGTTCTGTCTCCAAATGTAGCCAATCTCTGGAAAAAAAAGGTTGGGGAGCGGGGACAGAACAGAACACATCTGGCCAGTGAAACACGTGTGGGGGTGGGGGAATTATTTCTGACTCCTGCAGGCAATACAGCAGCTGTTTAGCTACAGATCATGGGCCAAATCTTCTGTCTACCACACTATGAAACCCTAAATAGAACTGTGTTTATATAACTTGAGTGGTTTTATTTCAGTGCCACACTATAACTATGTGAAGAAGCAAAGATTTGTACCCTCTTGACTGGATCCAGATGTGCAGGCATGTGCAGTTTGTGGTGCTGCAAACCTCTTTGTGGTGCCACAAACTGCACGTGTTGCGTGTTTGACTGTGCTGGGGCAAAATTTGCTACTAGGATTTCCTGCTCCCTTGTCTTGAGGCACACTGTGGCCCAGCCAGCTGGGGAGCTGTCTGCTCCCCCATCTCCATGTGTCGACTGGGGCACAGGGTTGGGGCAGTGCCTCAGTATGGAGGCTGTGTGCTGGCTAGCCCCCCAACACTGAGGCACCCTGTGCCCCAGCCAGCCCCCATCCTGAAGCACATGGAGCAGCAGGGCAGTGTGTCCCTCTGCAAACCACACAAGCAGGGCGTTCACTGAAGCACATTTGTGCTGCTGCAAGTGCACAGCCCTGCTCGTGCGGACATGGCCGTTAAGTTTATATTGCATGGAGAGCTCTAGGGGGTTAAGACACTAGCTGAGAAAGAGGAAGCTATTCTTTCACATGACTTCAAACATAAAAGTAAAGACATTTTGGTCAAAAAAACTGAATACATCTTTCTTTACAGAGCTTGTCTTGTGGTCACAATCCTAATTTCAAGCAAGGCCCATTCTGAGTCACAGGGGACTGTGAAATTCTGAGGTCAAAATTCTAAAGTTACCAATGTTCACAGGTTTTGGATGTGAAAATAGTCCTTTAATCCAAGTGAATTATGTATGAAGTGAAATAACTAAAAATAAAATGGCAGCAGTTTTAATGCAAGGGGGGAGGGGGCAGGATTTCTATACAAATCTAGTAATTATACAGATGGGAACTGTTCCAAGATGTCAGGTCCAAAAACATCTCTAGTTCTTGAGAAAAGCACCTTGTGATCTTGAATGACTGCAAAGGATCAAGACTGCAAGTGCTCATTAGTCATTCTCTTAATATCCTGTTGCTTGAAGTCTCTTAAACTCTATTAAAATATTAAACTTTATTTTAACCCTTTTGTGGGGATAAAAATCTTAATTTTGACAAAGGAGTGTTTCTCCCTAGATACTGCTACTCTAATGCAAAATGTCACCAAAGGGGTGACTGATTGCCTCTGAAGCACAGAGTGAAATTGTGATTGTAGATTTATCATTTCCATTTTTCTGCTGAGCATTGTCAAGAACCCTTTGACAACAGGTGAGGCGGCCAGCATGACAGGCCTCTGAGACCGAAACCTTTCAAATGTTTTAAAGTCTCTTGGCTTGAAATAGTTCTTTACTGTCCACACAGTTGCAAAATCTGAGGTGAGACTCTTCAGGCTACAAATTGGTGAGATTAACTGTAAACACCGTGAGGATGGCAATTGCTGGGTCATTTTTATATTTACTTTCCAGCTTTTAAATTGGGCTTTCGAGAGATGTTCAGATAAGTGCAGCAAAAGGCGCTGTTTTCTTTGGCCAAGTGAAATGAAATTGAATGTTTTCTCTGCTCACCAGAAATGTGGATGAGATGTAAATTGAGGGAAAAAATTACTGTTCTGCTATCCTCTGTCCTCAATGACATCCCACAAAGATGATGAGCTCCCTTCAGAAGCATTAAACAGGCATCACTAAAAACAAAATTTAGCTCCACATGCTTCAAAGTGCAGTTTCACCCTGGAAAGTGACCATAAAAATGGCCTCATGGTTTCAGGTTTTGCATCTTTCATTGATCCCAGAATACTCTGTTTATTAGTTAAATGATTTTTCTCCTAATTGGTAGCCCTGCAAACTCCCCGTAGGAACTGAAAGGCACAGTATTGTAGCTTGTCGGCATCTCAGCAAGGTACCTTCCTTACCAGAATAAGGGCAGAATTTACCCTGCATTTGAAAACTAATTAACACTTGTTTAAATGCACTACAGCCAAACCAAAATCCAGCTCATTCACTCTCAACTACCTTGGCTCCATATTGCTAACAGGCAGAAAAGCTGGCATGGGGGACTATGGACAGACACAAAAAGCTGCTCTGCGCAGCAAGAACATGCAGGGCCATTTCTCAGATCTGAAGCCCACTTTCAACTGAAGTTAACAACTGCAGCATGAGAGAGAGGGGAGTGAGACCCAGATGATCACCAGGGCTGGCAGCTGTGGGAACAGGGGCAGGAAGTCTAGCTCCGACTTCAAGACACAGAGGTGTGATGGTTACACTGGGCTCTAGGTATATAAGGTGTAAAAGGAGCTTAAAAAGGGGGTACCTGCTTAAGTGAGGGTGGGACTGGAGCCAGGGTATATCTCTACCCTAGATAAGGCCAAATCTTAATGGTCAAATGATTCTAGCTCACCTGTAGTAACTCAAAGGTAGCAAGAAGATCCCCTCCAGAGAGATTTCCACAATACAATGGGTGATAAGTCAGTTTAGGCGGCTCATACTTCTGGTCAGCGAGTGTCACCACTGGGGAAGCCACTGTAGAGCCAATGTATTCTGATTTACCCTAAATAAATAAGAATACATACTTCAGTCTTTTCCGATGTAGTCCAAATCTAACAGCAGCCTTCAAGACCCAGTTGAGCATGTGCAAGACCCAAATGTGTGAGACTGGCTTTTAATATCCTGAGCACTGCATGAGGCACACAGTAAGATACAGTGGAAGGCAGCTACTGAAATGAAGAGGGGTGAATTCCTTAAACCTCTCTAAAGCTTACCAAACCTTTGGGTTCACCAAGGCCTATACTGTAAGTCAGTGAGATGACACCAGGCTTGCATGGGCCAGGTAAATTTGGTCTCTGTCTACATGTTGAAACAACAGTGCAATTGCATACAAATAAAAGAATGCTTCTAAATGGACTCATAACCCTCTTTAGATCTGAATTGAACAGGAATGAGTTGAATCTTGGGTTTGCAAAGATGTAACTGAAGGCCAAGAATAAATCTAAGCCTCAGACTGCACCCCACTACCATATTAAGATCCATTCCAAAAAGCCAGAAACTGATGTATCTGGCTAGGGAAGCCGATGAAATAACATGGCTCTGTTCCTTTCAGAGACAGTAACACTGTGACAGCTCATGTATTTTAACAGGAAGTATTTCATGTTTACCACCGCATCATCATCATATAGCTCTACGACAACGACTGGAGGGAATTCAGCAATTTCCTTTCCATCACCATGAAGTACAATGTTATTGAACAGCAGCATCTGATTCCAGGTAGGAGATAATGTCTGAGAAATAATCTAATGAAAAACAGAAAATAATTCAAAAAGCTGGATAACAGTGTTATGGTACAGTGTACAACATGATAGACACTCAGAGATGCCTCAAGAGTTACCTCTTGTCCTAATATTGTATGAGTGCTTCCCATTTCTAGAGCATCTTCTACCTAAGGATCTCAAAACCTGATAATTTGAGACTGATCAATCATTTAGCCAGTTTCAAAGGGGGACTGGGCAAATTCCTGGAGGATAATTTCATCAGTGGGTATTCAACGTGATAGTTAGGAGTGCAACCCATGGATTAGACTTCTTGGGTCTCTGAATACTGGAAGCTGGAGAGAGGCAGAGAATAGAGCCATCTGGACAGGTCTTGCATAAATACTTTCTTCCTTATTATCCACTCTCTTCCACTGGAAGGGACAGGATGCTGGGCTGGATGGGCTTGTGGTGTTACCCAGCATTGAATTTCTTATGATCCTGAAGCCATTTATAATTTGTAATGAATTAGGCCTTATAACATCCCTGTAAAAGAGTTAGTAGTTTTTAATTAAATATTATCTACATTTTACAGAGGGAAATGGAACCATTTGATACTGGCTGTCAGTGATGAGGGATTCAATTAAATAGATCTCTGTTCCTATTTGGTATGGCAATTCCAATGTGGCTTTGAAAAATTAATCTATCATCTCATTTTCATGGCTGAAATTAGACATCTCTGTTCCTTGATTATGCATGGAAGAGGCAGCCTTCAGAACTTACCTTTGTGTTCTGGCAGTGTGAAACAAATGTGACTTTGGCAAAGGGATCAGAAAGTCCAGTGCTGTCTGCAGCGATGAGCCCCCTGGCCTGATACATGTGAGCTCTCAGCTGGTAGACATGCTGTGCTGTGTCATTACAAGAAAAAATAGGGTTATCAACTTTGTGAGAATAACACCATGTGTGCGTAAAAAGAGGATGCAAACAGAGTTCCAGCCTCTACCATCCACTTTGGGAAGTCCAAAGCCTTTTGCAACATCTGAGCCTGACAACACTCTAATGGGATGGGGACATGTTACTGTCACCATCTTACAAGTGGAAATTTGAGGCTTACTCTCTGACATTTTCACTTTCAGTGTCAAAATGAAGATTGTCTCAAGTCTGTTAATTTTCAGTGTATGGTCATTTGACCAGACTGTCTCTTGTACACATTTATTTATTACATAGCACAGTACATATGCTTTACCAAGAAAGCTGATAAGCCTCTCCCTTTGGGACATTTGACACTAGATAGTATAAATACTATAATCTGTGCTGCGCAGACCAAATGTAGAATGAGTGGAAGATAGAGAATGAGTCATAATATAACGGGCCCCTTCCTGCTCTAACACCTATGACTCCATGAAGCAAGTGGAGCTTCCATGAGGTTCATCTTTGCAAGTGGTGAGTGCTCAGCAACTCTGAACTCAGCAGCCAGAATCAGCCTCCAAGGATCAAAACATGTAGCATATCTTAAGTAGAAAATGCAATGATTTCAAGCAGACATCTTGAAGGTTCACAGCCCTGCTAAATCAGAACATCTTGTATCTAATGCTCCTTACAACTACTAGGCTTCTTGGCTTCTATATTGCAGAAGTACTCTCTTACTTTTGTAGTGCAGATTGGCAGGGTCACGGGCATCATGGTGCCCTGTGCTAGCTGTGGAGGGCACTTCAGTCTCATATCCAACAGGCAAGTTCTCCATAATGGTGTGGGCATACTTGACAGAACCAAGCCAGAGGTAGGTGTCAACTTTTGCATGTACGTTCCAACCTGGTGGGCGTTTTCCTGGTAACTGAAGAAATTCACACATCAGTGACAAGTGCCAGAAAGAGAAATTGTTGAATGTTACGAACAGCTTAGACAAGGCATGTTAGACAAGGAATATGTCCTTGGTGAATATCCTGACGAATGGAATGCCTACTTCACAGGAAGAATGGCTGTGGGACATACTTGACTCTAAACAAGAAAATAACTGACTTAGCTGGAAAAGTCTGCTTTCAGTGGCAACCCCAGTGTAGTGTGAAACCTGGTTTATTCTACAAAACAGATGCAAATTTGTCTCTTCTGGTTGCTCTCTTAAATTTCCCATTCTTTAGTTCATTTTTCAATGGATGTTACTTTCCTGTGCTGCAGCTCCTGGTCTTAATATTACTGCATAGGCAGGGCAGGAAAAAATTCATATAAAATAGTAAAGTTTTTACAAAAAATTCCACACTATTGACCTCCTTTCTTCCCTCCCATTCCTTCTCTGCTTATTCTGCATTTTACACTGTTTATTATTAGGAAATTCTTGGCATAAAAGCAACTAGACTATAATTACACTGCACTATCTTTCCAAGTCTCTAACAACTGAAGACTGCTTATCTGTTTTTTTTGTTTTGTTTGTTTTTTGTCCCCCCACAATAGTGGACCTTTGGTATTTTAAAGAGAACAGAAACATCCCACCATTGGGATTTTCTGTCAAGTTTCCCAATTATTATTTGCTTTCAGATAAAAACAGAACTGACCATACTGTGCCTATGAGGTTTAATCTAATTGACAAAAACAATTCTTATGCCAGATCCTCTCATTGAGCCTCATTTTGTGTTCAAAATAACCGCTTCTAAAATTAGCTTTATCTAATTAAAATAAAATTAAGCGTTTGAACAGAAAAAGAAGTCATCTCCCATATGTAAGGTCTGAAAAAAATCAACAAGCTGCTTTAAAAAGAATGGTAAAAATAAATGCACTGAAAGATTTAATAGGTAGTTAGAGGTGTGCATAGTAAACTACTTTGACAATTAGAAGAAGGCTATCTGCTCTCTAGATAAGCTTGTGCGAATAGTTTCAGCTATTACAGAATAAGCTACTGTCTGTTGTTTCAGTAAGTTCAGGCTTTTCCATCAAGCTGTTGACAAGGGGCAGTGATTGAACGCTATGATATTTCATTGTGTACTGTTACTGTACATACTGTTTCTGTATATAACGTCCACTAAGCCCGTCTTGTCTGACATATGCAGGCTGTAGTACTTTATACATATTTCTGTATATGTGTGTGTATATGTATATGTGTATGCATATACACATCCATCCATACATACATACATACATATATATATATATATATATATATACACACACATATACATATACATATATATGTATATATATATACATGCACATATATATATCACATACGCACACATACTATAAATTGGAGCTATAAACAATTGTACATTATACCTGAAACTGTGCTTCCTTGTTGTCTGAGCATAACTGTTAGCAATGTGTTGGCAATTCTTTATGGAGTTTTCAAAGGCTGCATCGCAATGCATTTGTTAGAGAATAAACATTTAGTGAGGCTGTACACATTGCATCTGTATATGCATGTATATGGACTTATGACAGACACTGCAGCAACAGAAGGAATAAATTGCTTTAGCAGGATGGTGAACGTGTATAAGAAGAGAAGAAGATAGATAAACAGGTAAAGATAAAATATATATTATTTCAACTAAACATATAGTTGAAATATGCATATGCATACAATTGAAAGAGAGTATGTATATATATGATATATATACATATATATGTGTGTGTGTATATATGTGTGTGTGTGTGTGTGTGTGTGTATCAGTGTCTTCCAGCTTCTTCAAGTTAACTCCTTATTTAAAGTCAACATCCTTACATTGATTTAAAATAAGTATAAAAATGTATTGGTAATAACAATGGTAAACTTAGAAAATCTCTTTGTGTGCAGATTTCAAATGTTTGACAGAAAATGCTTGACTTTGAAGGGGCAGAGCATGCAGATAGTAGGGAAGCAATATTTTTGGGCTTTACTTCATAATCAGATTTTCAGTGCTTTATGATGGGCACTGACAGATGTGTAGGCTCCTGCTCTAACTCACGGTGCTTTACATGAAGTGCCATGAGTTAGAGAGCCCCCCACAAAACTAAAGACAGGGGAAGGGGGGATTGATCCTGCCTACAGGAGACCAAGGAGCCTGCCTACAGCTCTCTCCCCCAGCCCTGCTCCCCACCCGTGCTCTGGGGCTGTCACTAGGAAGGGAGGTGGAAGGGAGGAGGGGTAGTGAGCTGGGGAAGGTCAGGGAGGCTGCAAGGGGAGGAGGCTCCAATCCACCCCCGCCCCGCTCCAGCTCAGGCTGGGCAAGCCCCAACCTGCAGCTTGCTCCTCGTCTCTTCCTGCTGACAGCCCCAGGGGCAGGGCTGCACTGCATCAGCCCAGCCCCAATCCTGCCACAAATTAACATTAGGGAACAAAAGTTTGCTAAGGTGCAACGCTTTCATCTGATACCTCATCTGATCAGGGTAATTTGTCACATGATCAGCCACATTAAGATCACTCTGCATCCATGCATGTGTCACAGCATGGCTATAGAGCACTTTCAGAGGCTGATCACGCAAGAAACATAACTTCTGTCTGCACCCTCAGTCTCCTGACTGCCTTGTGAGACTCCTTGGAGGTCTCAGTTCACTGGCTGAGAAACACTGCTTTAGCTAATGCAGACAAACCCAAAACTGTGTTGAAACTCTGATTTCAGATGGCTAGAATCTTAAATGAAATTCCTGGAATGAGACCTGGATAAGGACAATTTCCAAAGAGTTACCTGCAAAAAAACATTTTAGTAAATGATCCTGATGTCCCAGACTTACTTTCAGGAAATGGGTTTTAATCTTCCCACAGTTTTTGCCTCTCTGCTCAGCCACAGGAGAATAGAGTATGTCTTTCGCTGAGATTCTAGCATAGGCAACTCTCTTGTTGTTGCTGAGCATCCAGATGAACACATCGGGCACAGTATGCTGAGGCTATTAAAATGACAAGGACCAGAATTTCAGTGCTTTGAACATTAAGCTAATGAGTGATGCTCTTTTTACAAGCAACCATCATTAATTTGTGTTAAACACAAACTCATAACAGCTGATTTTCTTCAACTATTTGACAAGGCAAAAATCAGTATCTCCCGAGAATAGCTAGATATGGATCATAAATTAAAGAAACAATTAGTTTGTGCCTCAAAATTCAAATCTGTCTCTGAACAAAGCCAGAGGTAAAGAGCTTTGCACAGGGATTTAAGGAGCTCATGCTGTTCAGATTATCAAAGCAAAGATTAGTAGATGACTTGATCATGACTTATAAGGGCCCACAGAGGGGGAAAAGGCTATAATAGCAGATGTTTAATTTTTCACATAAAGAAATAATATAAAGATATAGCAGTGAGAAGCTGAAGCCAGAAAAATTCAAACTAAGTATAGAGTGAACTTTTTAAACACAATTTTTAACCACTAGAGAATCTTGACAAAGGATGTGGGATTGAGGTCTTTAAACCCATATGGAATTTCTTGCTAAAAGAGACGGTCTTGCACCACCCAGAATTAGTGGATATGGTGTAGAAATGACCAGGTGAAAATCTAGGGCCTGTATTATATACAGATGACACTAGCCAGTCACGTTATCTTCTGATCATTAAATCTGTGGGCTTAGTCCTTATTCCCCATTAGACCATAGGATAAATAAGAAAGAGGAGACATTAATCTATTTTTCATAAATCCAAGATTGAATAAGCACTAGCAGCAGCTTGGAAGAGGAGCATTGGCTACTGTTGTAACTGAATTCCTTCATTACCCTCTTCAGTGTGAGGGTGCAAGATTCAGAGTGGGTCCAACAAAGCTCATCCATATAATTAAACATCCACTGGGTCACCCACCTCTTCCACCCCTCATCCATAGTGAAAATTAAGGCTTCATAGAGCACAGCTGTATGGCAGGCAGAGGGCTGCAAACTGCCCAAGTGATGCCCTAGAACCTGCTCTTCCATCATGGACCTTTCATTAAGGCCCTTTCTTTGTTCAAGGTCAGGGTTGGCAAAATACAGCCTAGGGGCCACCAGGCACTTTCATCTGACCCATGGTGGCCCCCAATGAATTGAACCCCACCCAGCCCTTCCACACAAGGGTGGGAGTGAGGTGCCTACATTCGTTCCCAACATACACTATTATGCTTTGCTCCCACCCTCATGAGCACAAAGGCCTGGCCTAGGCAGCACTGGGTGGGGCTGCTACTGCAGGCTTCCCTGGCATCCCACTCCCTCCAGGCAGCAGGCAACAGGCAGCAGGCAGCAGGCAACAGGCAGGGAAGTGGGGGGGGGGGCTGCAGGTGGGTGGGAGCAGTGCAAAGCTCGTGTGGGCAGGGTGTGGGTGTGAGGGTGGGTGGGGAGTAAGGGGACCCCTCCCGCCCTCCCCCCATGGTGCGCAGCCCTGGCAGAGAGCAGGGGCAGCAACAGCAGCAGGGGTGATGCTGGTGCTTGGCTCCAGCCAACACTGCACATCGCAGCGAGGAACTTCCAGTGGCAAAGGTCAGGTGTTAGGGGTGGGACTTCCCATCCCAAGATGGCAGCCAGGGCGGCAGGGCAACTTTCAAGGGGCGGGGCTACCCATGCAGCACTTAACAGCTCACTAAACCTCATTAAGCAGCTCTCCACCCAAAATAATTGTCCTCCCCTGCTTCATCATTACTTTTGTCTGAATCTCACCATGGAACCTAGCATGCAAGTGCACATCTGGTACATCCAGCTTCACCTGATCACTCTGCTCTGGCCACAGGGACATTTCCAATATTGCAAGCAGTGAGTGGGGTGATGGAGAGCAGTGGGGATCCTCAGGTAACTAGCACTGAGCTCGGGATTTTACTGAGACATTGGGACCTGTATAAAGTTCTCTGTTGGTAGTGAATTACCTCATCAACCAGGAATCGAATTTTCTCTATAAAGGTCTGGGTCTCACGCATCATTTCATCCACGGATATTTTCTTTTTCTGCTGTTGAATAATTCCTTGAGCATCATTTGACAATGCTTCCTGAAACAGGAATAGATAGCATGTAAATATTGCATAGATGCTATTGTATTCATGAAAAGCTCTTCAAATTATACAACTACACACGCAAAGGAAAATGTGTACTTAGATTCACATTGAAAAATGTGGAAGTGCTTTACCCTGAAGTGGGAAAAGCTAATGAAATGTTTTTCTTGTCAAAACAGAAGAAATTTACTGAACAGGATCTATAGAAACCTAGCATTTTCTCCAAGCACGTGTATTTATATAATGGAAATTTCTGTTTTCTTTGCCTAGAGCAATGGGGCACAATCCTGGTAGTTGGATACATGCAGTGCAATATTACAGGCATTAAATACAACTAAGAAATGCATTTAATGTTCATCTCTAAGATTTAGCTGAAAACACTGAGATATATAAAGAACACTGTACATTTACTGCACAGTTACGACATTGGATGGCTCCAATATCAACCTGCTAATGAAGGCCTATGTTAGCTGTACTGGGGATTGTCCAACATTCCTCATCCTTCAGGGACAGGCTCTGCAGGAGTGTACGTTGAAAGAAGACAGTCAAACAGAAGTGATGGTCCAGTAGTTAGAGTGTTAATCTGAGATTCAGGTTAGGCCCAGGGTCCATTCCTGCCTTTGCCACAGACTTTGTGTGTGGCCTTGTGGCAAGTCCTTTAGCCGTGGACCCTACGCGATATTTACATGCTTAACTCCCACTAATTTCAATGGAAATTTGATGCCACAATACCTTTGAGGTTCTGGACCTTAGTCTATCAGTTTCTGTTCCCCATCTTTAATAAGAGGATAATGCCATTGTCATATCCCACAGGTGTGAAGAGAATATATTACAGATTGTGAGGCACTCAGATACTATGATAACAGGGGCCATATTGGTACCTTGATTACAGGGTATACATATGAGAGAGAGAGAGACAGAGAGGCAAAACACACGCAACATTTAATTCTTTTTGTATATTCTGAGCAAGATGCTTGTTTATCTAGAGGCCCCTTTTCTTCACTCAGGCGGTATAAAAGAGGCTTAAAGGGCATGGTGTGAAAATCAAATAGTATTTGAAAAATCTACACATACACACATATGTGGAAAATAAAGCACAATATAAAGGGCCTGATTCTTCTATCATTCAAACCTAGGTCCACCAGAACAATTAAGCAGGATATGAGTACGTGCTTACACTAATCTACGTTAGGAATGACTCAGTCTAACACAATGATCTGGGGCTATTTTAATGCCAAGTATTGGTAAGAAGAACCTAACTCAGGGGTTGATACACACATATGTGGAAAATAAAGCACAATATAAAGGGCCTGATTCTTCTATCATTCAAACCTAGGTCCACCAGAACAATTAAGCAGGATATGAGTACGTGCTTACACTAATCTACGTTAGGAATGACTCAGTCTAACACAATGATCTGGGGCTATTTTAATGCCAAGTATTGGTAAGAAGAACCTAACTCAGGGGTTGTCAACTGGGGGTACCCCCCCCCCCCCCCGGAGTACTTAGAAAGAACGCAGGGGGTATACCCAGGCGGGCGGGCAGGCGGGGATGGAGCGCGCCCTGGGGTATGGCAGCAGCAGCATCTCCCCCGGCACCTTCCCATACTTTGCTTCTTAACCACGGGAGCAAGAGGGGTGTGCTGGGCACCACTGGCCCTACGCAGCACACTGCAGCCCCTTCCTGTCCTCTACCTCAGCTCGCTCCAAGAAGCAGGGCTTCAAGGATGGCAGCAGTGCCTCTCTGTGGGCTGCACATGCACCACCTGGCCAGCCGGGGGGGGCGCTCGCACGCAGTGCATCCCACTGCCACCATCCAATGCTGCCCCCACCGCACACCACACCGCTATCCCATGGCTGGTTGCACGTGCAGCTCTGTGGGCTGCTGACATGCCTCACACCTCATGCACCTCCCGTTAGCAGCCCTCAGAGCCACATGTGTGGTTGGCCATGAGAAAGCAGCACAGGGCCCGGCAGTGGCAGCACGGGATGGTGGCAGCATGGGATGCTGGCTGACTAGCCAGGTGGTGCATGTGCAGCCCACAGAGGGGCCCTCACCTACCTGGCCCTGGTCCTGGGAGCGGGCACAGAGACACACTCACTCCCCTTCTCGATCTGCCCCACCCAGCCCCTTTCCTCTCCCCTGCCCCTTTCCCCCACATACACTTACCTGCTGGATGTGTGTGTGTGTGTCTGCATCTCCGTGTGTCTGTGTCTGTGCCTGCATGTGTGTGCCTGTGCCTTTGTGTGTGTGTGTTTCTTCCCTGCCCGCCCAACTGCAGCAGGCACATGGCATTGTGCAGGTCTTGTGGCAGCGGGGTGCAAAGTCTAGCCTGCAGCAGCAACTGCCTCCACCCCACGCACAGATCTTGGGGGCATGTGCCCCCCAGACCTCCACCGGGATGTGCGCAGTTGCAGGAAGTCCTCCCCCTTCCCCCGCCCCCCGCTGCCCAC